GGCTTCAGATAGTAATGATATGGCATTCAGATTGTTTCCTACCACATGGAACCTACCTTGTCTTTAACCTCTTTGGTTAGTTGTGGACTCCCAAATACAATTCCAATTGCTGCAGGAGCAAGTTCCAAATCCTGTCGCTACCAGTTCACTCGTGCGTGTGCGCGTGCTCACACACACTTACGCAGAAGCGTCCAGGCGGGTGGGCGGAGCCTCATCCCGACACCGCTACCAGTTCACCCAATCCAGTGCGAACCGGTAGCAACCCACCACTGAATTGCTGGCGTTGATTATATAAAGCCCCATACAACAGTTCTTTCTGTCTCATCTGTCATGAAGGATGAAAAGCTTTTCTCCAAGTGTTTCTTTTCTTATACATACTCACATGTCCTCAATTCGTTAGTTACCCTAGTTGTAGAAAGCCATCTTAAGGAATATTTACTTGCTACCTGGTACGCTGAGTTTAAAATGCCAGTTTCAATTAATCAGCTCAGGGGTTTTTTGGTAAACTGTCAAAAGATTATATCCAGAATATGTCAGTACACTATTTTTACTAATTTACTAACTGATGGATTCAAGGCCATAGCAATACCATTTAGAATTTATACATTGTCCCATAGTGATTTACAGCATTCTCTAGATGGTTTATAATGTTAATATTATTTGCATATTGCCCCAACAATCTGGGTCCTCATTTTACTGACCTCAGAAGGATGGAAGGCTGAGTATACCTTGAGCCCCATTGGGACTGAACTCCAGGCTGTGGGCAGAGTTTGCCTGCAACACTGCATTCTAACCACTGCTCCACCAGGCAATAGCATGCTGACTTCCAAGCCACAATTGATTAGGTATCCTCATTTGCATAGGATAGCATAAACATTCTCTCAGCATTCCTAAACAAACCTTGACAGCCCCAAACAATCCACGCTGAAACCAGAGTTGGCAAATGGTGTATTGCAGCTGCAAGGTAGATCGGAGACAACACTAAGTTACATTAGTTTAAAGTTGGTGCTGAGAGCAGCCACCTCTCAGCATTTTTTATATGTCAGCGCAGGCTCCGCCCATCCCACACACATAATGAACAGCTGAGCTATTCCCAGCTGATCAAGGTATTCAAACGGGCTGCCAATTATCCCTGTGTCGGCCCGTGACATCATCAAATGCTGCCGTCGCCTCCATTCACCTGTGATCCTCCACTACTTCCACTCGCTGCCAATCCTTTCCTCGACACGTCTGGCTGCCTAACACCCAGTGCCACCATCACCAATCCCTGTGAAGAGTTTCCCTGTTTCAGCTTCCAGGTATCTTTAATTTGTGTTCCCACAGCCTCCTTTCCGCCTCCCATATGCATTGTCGAGCAGGAGATTGGGCTCGACAGGCGGCCCCCTTTACTAGAAGCCCCCCTGCAAGAGATAAATTGGAGATGTTAACATCAGCCTTCAGCTTTTGTGAGTTTTTTCTATGGAACCGTCTTAATAGCCATTCAGCATTGATATTTTCCGCAGCCACCCAGGAGGCATCCTCATAGGAATATCCCTTCCACTGTACTAGGTATTTGACTTTGCCCCTGTATATTTTAAAATCTAATATTTTGTCTATTTCATACTGATTGTCCTTTAGTGGTCCAGGGTATTCTGAGGGGTCTCTGAAGGCTTCCACTGGTTTTAATAGACTGCTATGAAATACTGGGTGGATCTTGCCTAGTAGGGGTGGGAACTTCAGAGCTACTGTTACTGGGTTAATCACCCTGATTACTTTAAATGGGCCTAAATACTTAGGACCCAATTTTCTATTCGGTATCCTCAGTTTTATATACGTTGTGGATAGGTATACTTGATCTCCCACTCGGAAAGGTTTATGTTCTGCCCTCTTCTTATCTGCTTGCTGTTTATACTCCTTAGCTGCTTTCTCTAATGCTACTCATTGGTGCTAGGGTGGAAGGCTGAACTTAATCCTTGTGTTGCTCCTACAGCTTGTATAAAGTTTCGCCAAAACCTAGCTGTAAACTGTACTCCTCTGTCTGAGATAATTCACTGAGGTACCCCATGTAGACAATAGCAATGCTTTGCTTTCTGTTGAATGAACATTTTCGCTAATCATCTAGCTGAGGGCAGCCCGCTACATGGTATAAAATGTGCCTATTTGGAAAACAGATCTATTACAGTCTATAGTACCATGTTGCCATTGCTTTCTGGGAGGTCCACAATGAAATCCATAGCTCTCAGCGCCAATTTTCTCTCAGCGTTCCTAAACAAACCTTGACAGCCCCAAACAATCCACGCTGAAACCAGAATTGGAAAATGGTTTTTTGAAACTGCAAGGTAGATCCAAGGCAACGCTAAGTTACATTAGTTTAAAGTTGGCACTTAGAGCAGCTGCCTCTCAGCGCTTTTTATATGTCTGCGCTGGCTCTGCCTGTCCCACACACATAATGAACAGCTGAGCTATTCCCAGATGATCGAGGCATTCAAACGGACCACTGATTATCCCTGTGTCAGCCCGTGATGTCATCAAATGCTGCCGTTGCCTCCATTCACCTGTGATCCTCCACTACTTTCACTCGCTGCCAATCCTTTCCTCGACACGTCCGGCCACCTAACACCCAGTGCCACCATCACCAATCCCTGTGAAGAGCTTCTCCATTTCAGCTTCCAGGTATCTTTAATTTGTGTTCCCACAGCCTCCTTTCCGCCTCCCATATGTGTTGTCGAGCAGGAGACTGGGCTGAACACATTCTTGAGCAGAGTATATCAAAACAAATCACTACTGTCCTTGCTGTATGTGGTCAGGCATGACTATGACTAATCAATCTTTCCTTCTCTTATTAAAAAGCATCATTTGAAAGTCTCAGGTAACCAAGGCCATGATGACCAGCAAAGGCCAATAACTATGAATCCATTTGATGTCGTTCATGGCATATAAAACTTTGTGACTTGGACTGCAAGAGGGCTGAACATCAAAGCGTATGCATTAACAAATCAAATGAAAGAATGAAAGAATATTGTGTGTATAGTGAGAAACTAAAAGGAAAGGGAAGGATGTAATAGATCCAAATAAAGGTTGGATGATTTTTATTGAAATGGAGTTGATTTATATATAAATGGGGGCAAGAGCAGGCTTAATTAGGAATGAAAGTGCTAAAATATATTAATTGTTGGGGGTTGCATATAAAAACAGGAATCCATACAGTTGCAAATTAAATTCCAGTGAATGGTGATTATAGAAGAACTGGAGAACCATCTTGGGAAAAATAATGCAGCATTTTGAATGAATGTAATCTGGATGAAAACATTATTCTGTTAGGTGACATGAATAGCTGGTAGGAATAGGAATGCAAATAACATGACTGGACCTTTCAGAAACCCAAGAGAGAATGATAATGGGGATCTATGGTTACCTTCTTTTTTAAAAAAAAAATGCCTGTTTTAAGTATAAAATGATTCATACATATGCATGTCAAAAGAATAAATCTAAATCTCAAAGCATGACTGATTTGATCATTTCCAAAGACTGAGAGAATGAATAAAGTATGTGAGCACAATGAAGCCCTTAAGTCCTGCTATCCTGAGTCATTGTGGTTGGGAGAATGGAGCGTTCCTGAGAGGGATGAGCAAAATGTACTGGGAGCGTATGCCAGTGTATTCTCCAGGTAAAGTCAACAAGTAAAGAAGATCATCCCAACAACCCATTAAAACAAGCAAGCATCACTATCAGACAGCAATAATATTTACTGGAATTGGATGGTCATTTGAATGACAACAGCAAACGCAAGAACAAACAACTTTCATATTTTATTTTTAAAAACTGGATAGATAACAAGATAAGATGAAGACGATATAGTGTTGGATGATGTCCTTGATGTAGCTAGGAATTTTGCTGCTGGTGGACCAATGCAGAAAAAAGAAAATCCAAAGCTGGAAAAACAGAATTCAGTGGACAACTAGAAACATGGGTTATATGAGGGAAAAAGAGAAAGAAACAAAAAAATATAATTGGTACAAGAGGATGTGTGAGTTCTGTTGAAAAAGCATTAGTAAATAAATTGAATAAAGGGTCAGCGGACATAAAGAAAAAGCTATGGGAATCATTTGAAACAGAGTGAAAAATAATCTGTTACACATTATCATGGAATTATAGTAGTGGGATGGAAAATCTGTGCTGGAAAGATGACATGAAAAAAGCCTATGGATAAGGAAAAATCCATATAAGGGAATGATTGCTGCAAAAACTAAAGATAAATATTTTATAATACATATAGAGAGAAGACTGAAGTGGGTGGCTATAACAAATCTAAATAAGTAACGTGGGAACACTTTTCAGCGTTGACAATAATTTAAGAGTGTTAGAAGATGCTAATGTGTTTTGACTGCATTTGTGAAAACAAAGATATTTAATTTTATACACTGCTATCCTACAGCTTAAGGCAACCCAAAACATTTTTTTGCAATAACTCAAATGTTTTTTAAAAAAATCTTTATTAGCAGTAATCTGTTCTAAAATGTTACTACTCTGTTGACCTAAAGAAAAAGATACACCTGAAATTTTAATCCAGTTTTACCATTATATAACAACATAGATTAATGAAACATTTTTTGTAGATTTGTCCGTCTCCTTAAAAACTACTTGATAACTTATTGATCCTCTTGAACTTAAAAATATGAACTTAGGGGAATTCCCCTGAGTAGAGATATCAATGATATAATATCAACTTTCAAAGCATCTGGTTGCTTGTGAAAATTGATATGATTCACTTCCTATATTTATCTTAGCAATTGTTTTTTAATATATTTTAAGATTCTTTTTCCACCTAGTCACTTGTTGAGATAGATGGCCATACAAATTGGATGGATGGATGGATGGATCTGCTTTCCCCATAAATCCACTTGCATTAAAAAAAATATCTTTAAACAAAATGCTTTCCTGGGCCCTAAAGAAAAGAGGTGCTCCAGGCGTTGATAGGGCAGTCACAGATTGTTAACAGATGGTGCATCTTCTCCTAACAGGAGCCAAAACACCTACATTGAGAAGTGCTGGAAAGATGTTCAAGTGGGAGATTTTGTGCAGCTGCAGTGCAATGAGGTCATTCCTGCTGATATTCTGCTCCTCTACTCCTCTGATCAGAACAGGATCTGTTATCTGGAGACAGCAAATCTGGATGGCGAGACCAACCTTAAACAAAGACAAGTTGTGAAAGGCTTCTCCCATCAGGTAAGCAACTTTCCTCTCTCTTTTTTTGGTAGAAGAGAACAAGATCACTGCCTCCTTTAGGGAAGGAAGGGTCCAATTGTCCCAGATATGGAGAGAGACATTTTCAGTGTGTTTCAGAATTTGAAACCATTGGTTATTTTCAGAAAATTAAATAATTAAATATAACCCTCCCCCACCCCCATTTTTCCCCCCTCTGCATTTTAAGTGTCTCTTGGAATAGTTTTCTAACCACTGATTTTTAAAACTTACCCAGAGTGCACAGTGGTGAAATTCAATTTTTTTTTTACTACCGGTTCTGGGAGCGTGGCTTGACGGCATGGTATGGCTTGAGGGCATGGCTTAGTGGGCGTGGCAGGGGAAGGATACTGCAAAATCTCCATTTCCATCCTACTCCAGGGGAAGGATACTGCAAAATCCCCATGCGCTCCCCACTCCTGAGGGAAGGATATTGCAAAATCTCCCTTCCCACACCACTCTGGGGCCAGCCAGAGGTGATATTTGCCAGTTCTCCAAACTACTCAAAATTTCCGCTACCGGTTCTCCAGAACCTGTCAGAACTTGCTGAATTTCACCCCCGAGACTGCAGCAAGACAAGAGCATAAAGGACACTTAGGGAATAATTTATATCCACCTTTGTTTGCAAAAGGCATGAAGATGGGACCATTTCAGGTGGGGGATTCAAGGTTCCTCAGGACTCTTCTATGGAAACGCGATATGGAGGTCTTGTGAGACAGCCTCAGGTTCTTATTCCAAGTTGTAATTATTAGTAGAACAGAGCAGAAGAGAGGAGAAAAGTAATCTTTATAACATACCAGCTGTTGAAATGTTACATTAATCTTACACAAAAGCTGGGTTTTGAAACATGGGTTTATCAGCACAGGAAAGGGCATGCTCTACTCCAGGCCTGCACAGAAACTTTCAGTCTGTCAGCATTTTTGTGTAGACTGTCAGATGTTTGACAAGCCTATAGTTGGAGGAGGGGATGAAAAAACAGGTGATTTATTGTGCTCCAAGATGATGAGCCAGCTTGCAGGCTGCACTGTCAGATGGTCATCTACCCTGTGCAGATCAATTGATTGGTTATATTAGTGTGTACAGCCTGGGAATGAGGTTCTAAGTTTACCCCTAACCAAGACACAGTCATTAATTTCAAACAAGCCATTAATGGGTCCAGAGATATATCTTAAAGAGAATGTTGTGACCACCAGTTTAAAAAATCCAGCAGGCAAGCAGTGACTTTTTACCAATATGTAAGATTTCCTTGCACCTTCACTCAGTTTTCTTCAGAATCTTTTTTTAAAAAATAACTATTTTATTTATAATAGTAAGAGAGAAAGAGAGAGATGAAAATTACGAAGGAAAAGAAAGAAAAAAAGTGAGATTATATAACATGATAAATAATAAACATAATAAAGAACATAATAAAGAAAAAGGAAATGTAAAAAGAAGTGACTTCCAAGCTTATCACATAGAAATAAGCTTAGTAACACTTCACCACTATATATAGGCATATATTGTATTGTAATTTTATTCAAATGCATTGAAAGGACTTAGGTGAACTAAATCCAATTTAAAATCACTTACTTCAGGAGAAAACTAAAGCTTCATCCACCCACTGGAAATGTTAATATACATGTGCATTTTGGGATGCAAAATTCAGTGGGATATGAAAAATTGATAATAAATGTTAGTCTTACTTCAAATTTAAGCCTGATTGGCCAGAAATAATATCCCTGTTCCCACATTAATATTTTTTTCAGAAGCAGTATAATGGATATTTCCTTTTATCCATTTTATATATAAATCCATTTGTGAAATTTTTAATTTTGGAAGAAGTATATTATTTAAATTATAGATTTCTCAAACACATTAATGACAGGTCCTGGTTAAAGACAAAAAAATAAAGTCAGCATCATCTAGACCACGGGTGTCAAACTCAAAGCCCATGCGCTGGATCCGGCCCACGGGGTGCTTAGATTTGGCCCATGGGGCCATCCTGGAAACAGTGAAGGACCAGCCCATGGTGCCTCTGCCAGCGAAAATAGCTCAGGAGGACCGCATGCCGCCTTCCCATTTACATTTTCGCTGGCAGAGCACTCCAGGAAGCCCCGATACAAGTGATTTTGAACTGGCCACACCCACCATGACCCTGGCCACCTGGCCACGCTCACCCAGACCCCCGATGTCAAGCACAATCATTTGCTACTACAAATCATTAATTTTGTTTTGTTTGTTTCTTTACAGAATACGGAATTTGAGCCAGAATTATTCCAAAATATCATTGTTTGTGAAAAACCTAACAATGATCTCAATAGATTTACAGGCTATATGTAAGTTACTGCAGTTTTTATTTTTACCATTCAATCACTGTTATCAGAGCCAGTAGAGAAAAGGGGAAAGTAATAAAATATGTATGTGTCATGATTTCACAGCACATTTTATTATTTTTCATTGCTGCAGTTTGTAAAGGATGCCATAACAACGTTATGTTATGTTATGTTACGTTGCGTTATGATTATATTCTACTCAAAATGTTTTGAGATATTGTGAACAATTTATATACTATTATTGTACTCTTCCCAAGTATGCAAATAGTCCAGAAATAAATATATTCAGCAATATTTTGCTATATTCATTCTTCTTCCATGAGGATTAAGACTGAATAGACTATTAGTACTGCTGATGTCCTTCTGCAGAGAACTTTGTGTTTGGCTTGAGCACTTTAAGAATAAAATTTCTTTTATCCTCTACCAAAGTATCCTTATAAAGTGGGAGCAATTGTCATTGTTTAAGAATGGAATTAGATGGATTTGTGTGATGATTATAGGATGAGGACCTGACATCTTCAGAAAGAATTTGAATGAGCTCAGGAGCTCTGCAGTGCATCCTATGTCAGAATTAGGGATTCAGAGTTTGCACCAGAAGACTATTTTGTGACTTCATTTCACAAAATAGTCTTCTGGTGGCACAGCAGACTAAAGCACTGTTAAGTAACACCAGCTGCCTGCAATTACTGCAAGTTCAAATCTCACCAGGCTCAAAGTTGACTCAGCCTTCCATTCTTTCGAGGTAGGTAAAATGAGGACCCGGTTTGTGGGGGCAATAAGCTGACTTTATATAAAAAAGAACACCGCTTTGGGGGGGGCAAAGTCCTACTAAGCAGGTATATACAAAAGTATGAAGGCTATTGCTTAACGCATTGTAAGCCGCCCTGAGTCTCCGGAAAAGGGCAGCATATAAATCGAACCAATAAATAAATAAATAAATAAATAAATAAATAAATAAATAAATAAATAAATAAATAAATAAATAAATAATAAACAGATGCACTATGTAAGCAAGTCAACCACATTTCTGCAAATTCTGCTTTCTTCAGCTTAAAGTCCTCTTAGGTCCTTTTTAGGCTTCCCAAAAATGCAAATGTGGGGGGAAATTAATGAAATATTTGCCTCAACCATTTCCATCCTCAATTTCCTTTAATTATGAGAAATATCTGAAGAGCTGGAACCATATTAGTCTTCCATAGATTCAGGAGTCTAGGATGCAGTCCTTTATCTGTGCCACTCTGGCTGTTTCCTGAGAGCAATATCAGGAAAAGATACCTGAGGCTGATACCTGGGTATTCAACCTTATCTGCTCTTTCTGTTTACAATGGGTGAATTACTAAAGAGCTTTCCAAAAATATATTCACCAATCAGGTTAATCCATCCAACTCCTAACATGATATATCAACTAGTGGGAAGTGTATTGATAAATTATTCCATAGCACACTGAATGTTTTTATAATCTAAAAGTGAACTAATACAGCCTTCTTCTATAGTGCCCCATCTAAGCACTGCAAGTTATCCAGAACATATTCTTGTTGCTATCTATCTGTAGTTAATTATTCTGACTCATGAAGAGTCATTGGGTTTATACAACCCATGTGATATGAAACTAGTACTACAGAGCCCAGGATATTTAAATATGCAAACAAATGTCAATTCCCAACAAAGGTAAATGTAAATCAACACTGCTGGGTGTGTCTCGTGATTGCTGTTCCTAGAAACTGTCTTATGGCATGCCAGTATCAGGATCATCTGAAGATGGGCTGTAATTATTTTGTTTCTATGGATCTTCATTTTATATTGTATCCAAGTATTTTAAAATTGGGAAAGGCCCATGCTTCATTGATGAGGACTTTCTTTAGGTCTGAGGCTGATCCTTTATCTGTTCCTTTTTAGTGGAAAATTGCAGCTGAGATTTCCTACATTAAAAGCATATATTCAAGGCATAGAACTGAAAATCCAATCACCTATTCCATAACCTTTCCCATAATTATTTTGCAAGTATGTACAGATAGCAGTTAACAGAAAGGCTGGCATAAGAGATGAAGCAGCCTGTAGTTCGCACGAACTCTCCCAAACTGTCATTTGTAGCATCCAAATTCAATGGTCAAACACTGATAGAGAAGTTTTCTACCAATTTCTGATGTAAAGTAAAAGAAATAAGGTATTGACTTGGACAGGACAGGACAGGACAGGACAGGACAGGACAGGAAAGGAAAGGAAAGGAAAGGAAAGGAAAGGAAAGGAAAGGAAAGGAAGGAAAGGGAAAGGAAAGGAAAGGAAAGGAAAGGAAAGGAAAGGAAAGGAAAGGATCCCCCGTAGAGAAATCAGACCAACACACTTGTATGGCATCATCCCCCTCTCCTCTGTGAGAAGGAGACAACAAAAATAATAGCAAATTGGCATTCCTTCTTGCTGTTAAAACCTCATTTACTCCAATCCTGAATATTAATTTGCTAGAAATGTCTAGCAAAGTCAATTTTTCTGAGTGTCAGGGTTCTGATAGTTTCAATGGGTGGTATTTTTCAGAAATGTGGTGATGATCTGTGTGGCCCTCCAAAGTCTTTCTCTCGCCTTAGATTCCACCATAAGGAAGGCGAATTTGTGATAAACATTCTTTTCAGAATTTTCCAAAAGTAAGCTTGAAAGATGGGTCATAGAGAAAAAAAAACTGAAGCATTTTGAGGCTTTTTTTCAGACAAAAGACAGATGGTTGCTTTAAAACAGCCTTTGAGCATTAAGTATGAAAAATCCAATCAAGTGCCTGCGAGCATTTCACCATGTACATAGATTTATCTGCAGTGGCAAGGACATCCTTTCTTTAAATGCTGCTGGCAAATATACCCAATGTATTGAATTTCCACTGCTGACACTTTGGTACAACAGAAGGTAGGAAGAGCCTCCGAGATCTTTGAACACTTACATTAAAAGAATGTATTGTGTGAAATTAAAAAAAAAATGTGTTGTGTCAAAGCATTACATGTTGATCTGTAGAAGCCCAGGGCACAAGACATCAGAGAAATCATCTTTTCTGTAATGTAAATTCTCAGCCTTTTAACACTGATTTGAAACCTCAGCATGGCAGCGATCCCCTGCAGTACTTTATACCATCAGTGAGCCTCAAAACATAATCACCCACGGTCACGACATTAGTAGTGTATTATTTAGTACTGAGAGAACAAGAAAAAAGATATGAAGAAAACAATGGACATCTATCTTCTTTGCAGGGAACAGCCTGATTGCACACGAATTGGACTTGACAATGAAAACCTTCTTCTTCGTGGTTGCGTAATAAGGAATACAGAGGTTGCGATAGGAATTGTTATCTATGCAGGTAATTACTGGATTTGTTTTTCATACAGCTACAGATTGATACCAGGGTCACGAAAAGTTCTTTTCCCCCAGCACTTTTTGTGCAATGTAAAATTTGTTTTGCCTCTAGCACTTTCTCTGTAAAATGCAGAATTGAGGAATCTACCCAGTGGTGGAATTCAAATTTTTTTACTACCGGTTCTGTGGGCGTCGCTTGGTGGGCGTGGTATGGCTTGCTGGGTGTGGCTTGGTGGGTATAGCAGGAGAAGGATATTGCAAAATCTCCATTCCCTTCCCACTCCTGGAGAAAAGATATTGCAAAATCTCCATTCCCACCCTACTTCTGGGGCCAGCCAGAGGTGGTATTTGCTAGTTCTCCAAACTACTCAAAATTTCCGCTACCGGTTCTCCAGAACCTGTCAGAACCTGCTGAATAGCACCCCTGAATCTACCCCTACTAATTTTTTTTATACCAGCTCCTACTCTTCATTATTTTGGATAATTTTTAAGCTGAGTAATAATTTTAGAGAACACAAAAACTGCCTGTGTTACCATTCGTAGTTTATTCTGAGAAATATATTCTTACTTAATGCATCACTTTGGTTAATTATACCTTGCTTCTTGAAAGGCAGCTTTATGGTTTGAGAGAAGAAGAAATGCTGCGTTATTCAATACATACAAGAAACCAATCTGTGGCCTTTGGTGGCATTCTTCACAGGGTTGTGAGCAGGAGGATTGTGCTGTTTTTGTAAACTACCTTAGAAATGCTTGTTGAAGATCACTATAAAAGCAGCACTTAATCAAGATGTGTAAAATGGAAAGGGAAGAAAGGTTATGGTGTGTTTCATTAGTGACTGAATATAGGTGAATGGTTATACTACACAGAGAGAAGAATGCATTGTCAAGAATGATTTTTAAAATAATGGGTTCTGGAACTCTTCAAATTCTTAGGCTGGGAAAAGGGGAAGTTGCAATCTTAACCAATCTGAAGAGTTGTCTTCACCTTATATTGTGAATATAAAATCCCCATCCCAAGTCATCAAGAACTGCCTAAATTTCATTCCGGTTTGCTCTGAATAACTTGGCTTCTGACTGAGGTGTCAGCATACACTTTTTTTTAGTTTGCATAAAAATGTTGCAGTTGCTGTGCTGATAACAGTAAAACTATCACTCAGGAAAGAGACATTTGGAACTAATTTCCATCCTTATCTTGTCACTTTAAATGCTGTAGCAGCTCCTGACTTTAAGAACACAGGCATAAACCTAGCAGTACCTCTTGGGAATACTTTTATTTTCCTAGTAAATCGCTTTTCAAAATGTCTTTTCTTTGATGCCAGAGGTGTTCCCATAATACCAATTGCTTATGAGCAAGGAAAAGTGGAAACCTCATATCACAATGATAATACTGGTTTTGTTTTTATATTGTATTTATTAGAAATGTGTAAGGCCACCCAACTCTACAATAACCTTGAGCAGATTACAGTAAAACCATAAAAATACGATTAAAAACTCAAGTGCCAGAATAAAAATAACCATTAAATAGCACTTAGCAATAGCAATGGCACTTATATACTGCTCCATAGTGCTTTGTAGTGCTCTGTGAGCAGTTTAAAAAGTCAGCATATTGCCCCCAACAATTTAGGTCCTCATTTTACCAATCTTGGGAGGATGGGAAGGAGTCAACCTTGAGCTGATCTGAATTAAATTTCTGGCTGTCAGCAAAATTACCCTGCAATACTCTATTCTAACCACTGCACCACCAAGGCTCCAAATAATATTCAAATGTATAGGACTCATTACCTACACTCTAACCCAAGTCTTGGGGAAAGAGCTCAGATGGGGGGGAAATGCATCTGGGATGGTGCTCCAGATAGCAGGGGTTGCAACAGAAAAGGCATGCCTCCTAGATCCCATCAGTGGAGCTGCTTAATGCGTAGGACATATTGAGCATGCTGAATATGCCTAGTTGTGCAGGCCAGACAAAAACCACAGAAAATATGTGATCCTTTAAATAATCAGGCCCCATGTAATGAAATTCCTTGGTTACAACTTCTCCTGAAATGGGAACCATTAGATTCCAATTTACTCTGTGTTTCTTTCTGGCCTGCTGTTTTGTTGGTACTTCAGATTCACTTTGGGAAGAACTAAACAGCATTAAAATTATTCACTGCTGGATCTAACTTATTGGACTTTCTTTATGTTCATCCAGAACACGCACTAGTAGATTCTCATTAAGTCACTCTGGCAGCTGTGAAACAGTCAAACTTACTTAGAAATCAGTCGGCCATCTAATTAGGTTTTAAGGCATTAAAGTACTCTGCATTTTTTTGGCTCTAGTTGATATTCATTGTGAATAAGGACTTCTTTAACCACCAGCCATTCCATTTGCAAATAATCCCCAACAGACTTTAAACCTAATCTATGATTTCTCCACATTATCAGTAATCTCAAGCACATTCAGTATGATGTTGCCTGTACAACTGTAGCTTTTCAGTTGTAGACACCTATGCACAAAGACTGCTGGCCACGTACTCGTTTTTTTAAAAACTAGCCAGTTGCTGGATACATTGTCCCCATTAGGTTGCTCTACCTGCATAAAAAGAGGAACAATGGCATTCTTAGAATTCTTCACACACACGCAGATAGATACTGGCACACTGCTCACACACTTGTTCACCTATATTTTTGTACATCCACTGACTGTATTGTGAAATATTTTTTCCAGTTGCCGGCTATTAAAGCCGTTGCAAGGAAAGACTGACTATTGAAACTATTAATGCAGAGAAGCTTCAAATAGTTCCTCTTCACATGGAATCAAATCACCATGGCAGAGTCTGTGAATCATTGTAAATCTTGCAAAAGTGGCATTTTTGCATAATGTGTGAAGTGTGTTATCCCAGCGAATCCTGAGTGCTGCAAGGCAACAAACCCCCATGAGAACCACATGCAAACAAAACTGCACTTGAGCGTTTTCTCCTTGCTAGGCTAAATAAAGTGCCAGCAAGGAATCGAAAGCTTGGGGACATGGAAACCAAAGGGGAAACACATGCTAACAAACACAGAATGATTCTCTGGAAATCAGATCCCATATGTTTCTGAAACAAGGGACGGAAAATGCAAATGAACTTTCCAAATGGAACAAGGAATACAGGTCTGAAGATATGCCCCAGAGCTGGTTTGCAGAAAGCATTGAACAATGGATTGAGATTCAATCAGCCCAAAAGGCAGAAGAAAATAGTATCTAGAAGCATCCCACATCCCTACACTCTTTTAAGACACTAAAATAAAACTTCGTTGTCTTTATGGAAGTGAGATGCAGCATATAATGTGGTCTCAATATACTGTACCAGAGCTTTTACAAAACAAAATGTGCAACAATAAATAATTATAGCGACCATCATCAGTCCTGTTTCCATTCCTGTAATAGTCCATGAATTAACCTAGATATCAAATACATTTCTCTGATTATCACACTTCAGGGAGCTCTATAGGAACTCTCATTTCAGGAAGTCATCTCCATTGACTATAATGTCTGTTGCTTCTAGATTGGGTTCAGAGACAGAATTTATGAATTGATTGGTGGATCAAGTAAAAAATCTATTAAACTAATCACTCTGATTTCCACTGTAGCCAGCCAGATGGTGCTGAGAAAGTCACAAGAACATGATGGAGCAGCAATTGCCAATTTCTATTAAGCCAATTATTTCAGAATGTGAAAACTCATTTGAATGCTTATGGTTAATTCCCATTAATATTGCTGTCCAATACATAGTGAACTAATCCAGGATTTGTCAGCATAGCCCCTGAAGTACCAAGAAACAGCATCCCCAGATGGCAACTGCAGAATCCCAAAGCTTTTTAAAAAATAAAAGTTATATATACACTTTTTTTAAGAAATGGCCAGAATCTCACAGATCTTTTTTTTTTTTTTTTCACATTCTTGCACAAGCTCAGAAGAAGATAATCATCTGGAACTTTAGGATTTCAGTACTACTCAGAAAAGCTCGTGGGAGGGAGATCACCAATGATTATAGTTTTATGAAAGGAGAGACATTTTTAAAAGTATTGTTTTGATTTCTTGGCTCCGGTCTTCTTATGTGAGATTCCATGATAGAATCTCGAATGTATGTTGAGCTCTGTTCCAGTCTTGTTAAAAATTACGATTTTACAATTATTAGCTAGCATTTGCTTCTTATATTTGGGAGAGGCTTTATTTATTCAGAAGATTTAGAAGACATTTATTTTTAATTTTATTAACCAAATTTAGAAACTGGCCATTTATTATTTTAAGTACCTTCAGCATTCAGCAGAAATAAATAATATATCCATTACATCCATCTGTTCTATTAAGAAACCTCAAAGAAATTAATGTTTAACTTTCCTTAAATATGTAATTATTAAATAATCTACAATAAAAACTTTGTTAAAGTTGAGTTTAAAATAGTTCTCTATTCATTCTCTCCACATTGTGGACAATTTTATAAAATCCCATCCTGATCCTCCTCCTTTTTTCTCTTTAAAAAAAAAATCCAAACTATTTATGTACTTATTTTCAGAATATTTTTAAAAAGCCTTTCAGCTTTCTAAATCCAGATTGATGAGAAGCAGTAAGAACATAATAGCCCTATCAAACTACAACTTCATCTAATTATCTGTGCTGTCTGGCAGCTGTTCCTCTCAGCTGCAGATTTAAAAACTTTCCCAGTTTTACCATTATTTATTTCCGGTAAATCCAAGATTTTAAGGAATTTGGGATATATTGATATATATATATAATCTTCTTGGCTTTCTGCAATGTCAATCTACCACTGCAAGTCTGTTGCCAAGAATGCAGTTCAAATTACATCTATAGATAGATGAGGAAGTGTTTGTACCAGTCTCAGCCTTATCATTCCAAATAGGAAATACTTGAATCCAACCTAAAAAGATAAATATGCTCATTTTTGAATTTATGGATTTGGTAATCTTTTCTGTATAATCCATCTGTAATCTCTTCCATGAACCTGTTATTCTTTGTGACATTGGTATTTTTTAAAATCTATTTTGGCCTTCAGTCATGCATAGCACAATGTGAACATTCCTCTTCTTTAGACCATTTCTCTGAATCTATCCATCGCTCACTTTCTTTAAGATTTCTTCCTTTGATGTGCCCAAGAATTATATGCCCACAGGTTGAATCAAGGTTCTTTTGACTTCAAACTATGTCCTTTGCAACACACCTGCAGACCTCATTTTTTTCCTCAAGGATTTATGTTTTAATTTGAGCAGGAATTTTTGTTTTAGAGACTTTTTGTTGCTTCGCCAAACTTCCTACAGAGAAGATATTAATAGTTTCTCTGTGAGATACAATTCTTTCCAAAACCTTTGAAATTGCGAGACACTCAACATCTCTGGAAATCATGTTCTTGCACATGCCAATCCGTTAAACATGTTTTCCCAAAAAATACTATGAAAATGTAAGTTGCATGACTAGAGATATCTAAAGTTTGGTTTCTTGTAATCCCTGAGTTCTTTATATTCATAAAATAATTTTATCTTTATGCATGTGCACACCTGGAAGGCCACGAAACCAAAGCTATGTTGAATAACAGAGGTCCTCGTTATAAACGCAGCAAGATAGAACAACAGATGAACATGGATATATTCTTCTGTGTGGGACTGCTCTTCATCATGTGTCTCATTGGAGCGTTAGGTATGGAACAGTGGTAAAAACCTAGTCTACTTCTTTTCCTTTCTATTGTGCACTGAGAGTAGGACTCTGACTGCAAATTACAAGGAAAGAGTCATAATAGTCTTGAAGAATTTTTTTGCCTGCTATTACTAATCTTTTCACTGTGGAGTCCATAATAAGCTTATGAGAAATACTTTGAAAACAACTGCACTAAAGCCCATTCAATATGGATAGAAATTTGGATGTAGAGAAAAAGTTCACTGCTAAAATTAATAATTCATTGCTGTAAATTCCCTAGATGGTACCAATCACTTTCAATAAGAACCAAAAGAAAAGATTGCTCTCTTAGCAATTGCAGAGATTGTGTCCTAATATGACCAGGATTTGCAAGGATGTCAAATTCTAATGAAAACAAGTCCACCAAGACTCTACAAATAAATATTTGGCAGAAGAAGCAAATGTTCCTATAATTGTGTCCCAATTTCTAAGTGTCAGTCTGCAAGTGAGTTGCAAAACGCTCCACTGGAAGATTTAGCGTTTAATTTCTTTTGTGTAGTGAGAGCCTTTGAGGAAAGTGGCATGACATGCCTGTAATCTGTTGAATTGGCCAGACAAAAAGAGCTGAACTACTGTATCTAGAAATGAAGAACCCTAACTAAGCAGCAGTTCAATTTTCTTTTCATTTCATTTTTAACAAAATGGGAGCTTCAGGTTATAGTCTTGGTTTAATCTGGGATCACAACTGGATCAGTTTTATAGAATGGGAATGCAGTATGTCTTCCTTTTTCAGGGAGGGGAAAAAATAGATCAAAGATGGAAAACGAATTACAAACAAGTTTAATCTTTGTAAGCCTTAAAACTGGGGAACATGTCCTGATCTATTTCCTCACACTTCCCAGGAGTGCCCTGCAAGTATTTCTTTTTGACATACATTTCATTATAAGGAGATGGGTAGAAAATGATTTTTATTTTAATTTTTTTGCTTTTCAGTGTTCATTCCCTGAGGCTTTAATGTTGCACTTAAATGCACTCTTATTGTATTTCATTTAAATGGAAACTCATTCTAATGAAAAAGTTGGATGCTGATATCTATTAATAATCTCCTGTTTCGTTTCATACAAAATCCAATTTTATATACTTAAGAACAGCACAGTTTGTTTTTTAACTGTTCATTAGATAATGGTTTATAAACTAGTGCCACATCCAAATGCTTGAAGTGGAATTAGCTGTTACAGTTGTGGAGCAAATAGCCCAAGATGGGTACAACAAAACAAGGGGGGGCTCTTTCCACATTGAATTATTACAGAGTAATGAACAAATTTCTTGTCGATTACATACCACATTACACCAGCGATGTGCAAAACGATATTTCTTCCCTCTTAGTTTAGTTTAGTTTATTATATTTATATACTGCCCTTCTCCCGAAGGACTCAGGGCGGTCAACAGTCATGGTAAAAACAATATACAACAAAAATTTAAAAACTTAATTAAAATAATTCAATCATTGGCCGAATTTAAAACACCCAACTAAAATCATTTTAAAACCCCTACCAAAACCCAATTTAAAATCCTTTATCCTGTCAGACCAGCTTGATGGAATAATAGGGTCTTCAGAGCACGACGGAAGGCGTGGAGGTTGGGGATCCTCCGTATGTCCAGGGGCAGTTCGTTCCATAGGGCCGGGGCCCCCACAGAGAAAGCTCTCCACCTGGGAGTCGCCAGCCTACATTGTTTGGCCGACGGCACCCTGAGGAGGCCCTCTCTGTGGGAGCGTATTGGTCGGTGGGAGGCAATCGGTGGCAGAATGCGGTCCTGTAGATAACCAGGTCCTAAGCATGGAGCGCTTTAAAGGTGATAACCAACACCTTGAAATGCACCCGGAAGACCACCAGGAGCCAGTGCAGCTCGCACAAGAAGGGTGTTACATGGGAGCGACGAGTCGCCCCCATTATTACTCACGCAGCTGCATTCTGGACCAGCTGGAGCCTCCGGGTGCTCCTCAAGGGGAGCCCCATGTAGAGAGCATTACAATAGTCCAGCCAGGAAGTGACGAGGGTGTGAATGACTGTGCGCAGGGCATCCCGATCCAGAAAGAGACGCAACTGGGAGATCAGGCGAACCTGATAGAAATCCCCCCTGGCCACGGCCATCATATGATCTTCCAAAGACAGCCGTGAGTCCAGGAGGATGCCCAAGTTGCGAGCCCTCTCTGAGGGGGGGTAAGATCTCATCCCCAATAGCCAGCGATGGTGTTAGCTGGCTATATCGGGCCGTTGGGAGCCACAGCCACTCAGTCTTGGAGGGGTTGAGTCTGAGCCTGTTCCTCCCCATCCAGATCCGCACGGCCTCCAGGCAGTGGGACATCATGTCAAGGGCATCATTGGGGTGGCCTGGGGTTGAAATGTACAACTGCGTGTCATCGGCATACAGTTGACACTTCACCCCAAAGTCACGGATGATCTCACCCAGCGGCTTCACATAAATGTTAAACAGAAGGGGCGAGAGGACTGACCCTTGTGGCACCCCACAAGTGAGGAACCTCGAGGTCGACCTCTGCCCCACCGTCAACACAGACTGTGTGCGGTCAGAGAGGAAGGAGGAGAACCACAGTAGCATGGTGCCCCCACTCCCACCCCCTCCAGCCAACGCAGCATGATACCATGATTGATGGTATCAAAAGCCGCTGAGAGATCGAGGAGGACCAGGACAGAGGAGCAACCCCTGTCCTGGGCCCTCCAGAGATCATCAACCAATGCAATCAATGCCGTTTCTGTGCTGTAACCCGCCCTGAAGCCCGACTGGCATGGATCTAGATAGACAGCTTCATCCAGAAATCAAGGAAGTTGTCCTGCCACCACACTCTCAACAACCTTCGCCACGAAGCAGAGGTTGGAGACAGGACGATAGTTAGCTAATAACAGCCGGGTCCAGGGAAGGATTCTTGAGGAGGGGCCTCACCACCGCCTCTTTCAGGGCAGCTGGGAAGACACCCTCACTCAATGAGGTGTTGGTAATCTCCTGAAACCAGCCTTGTGTAACCTCCCGGGAGGCCAGCACCAACCAGGAGGGACACGGGTCCAGTAAACATGTGGTAGCATTAAGCCTCCACAAAATCCTGTCCACGTCCTCAGGAGTCACATGGTCAAACTCTTCCCAGGTAACACTCTCAAGACTCACCTCCATCATCCCGTCCGAGGCTATCCAATCAGAGTCCAGGCTGGCCCGAATCTGAGCGATTTTATCATGCAAGAATTGTCCAAAATCCTTAGTTCTACCCTGCCCTCTTCTGTGCATCTTGTTAGATCCTTCCTCCAGAAGGTCCTGCTCTGAATTTGTGTGTGGCGGGGGAGGGTTAACGAGGAGGGACAGGAAAAAGAGAAGGAGGGAAATTCATACCAGCTATCAAATGCTGCTCCCTCTGTGTAACAACATAATTATAATCATAAGTTTATTTGTCAAGCATATATAAGATAACAGGTAACAGTATAAACATAATTTGAATACATGAAAAGAGTAAGTAAAAAGGAATATTAAGACAGGGACGGTAGGCACGCTGGTGCACTTATGCACGCCCCTTACAGACATTTTAGGAATGGGGTGAGGTCAACAGTAGAGAGTTTAAGGTTAAAGTTTTGGGGGTTTGGGGAAGAAACTGCAGAGTCAGGTAGTGTACTCTAGGCATCGACCACTCTGTTACTGAAGTCATATTTTCTGCAATCGTGTTTGGAACGGTTTACCTTGAGTTTGTATCTATTATTTGCTCCTGTATTGTTGTGGTTGAAGCTGAAGTAGTCATTGACAGGAAGGACATTGTGGCAGATAATTTTATGTACTATGCTTAGGTCAGACTGAAGTCGGCGTAGTTCTAAGTTGTCTAAGCCCAAAATTTGGAGTCTGGTGGCATAAGGTATTTTATTGTAGTTAGAAGAATGGAGGACTCTTCTTGTAAAATATCTCTGGACTCTCTCAATTGTATTTATGTCCGATATGCAGTGCGTGTTCCAGACAGATGAGATGTATTTAAGATAATTGAATAGAGCTATCTACATAACTATATTTATAAATTATATTTATATAATTATATTTATAATTATAAATTATAATTATATTTATATAATTATAATTTATAATTATATAATTATAAACCTCAGAAAACATATTTTATATATATATATATATATATATATATATATATATATATATATATATAAATAATATATTTTATATATAGATATTATATAATACTGTATGTATGTGTGTATGTATATATATATATATATAGAGAGAGAGAGAGAGAATATATATATATATATTACAAAATCCTAAATTTAGTCCTAAAAATATTTTGTATTTTGAATGCAGGTCAAAGTATTTGGAATGGAAGTTTTCTCACCCACCCCTTATTTATTATCCCAGACATAAATGGCAACTACCTTGGTCCAGCTCTTGCAGGTTTCTACACATTCCTGACAATGATCATCCTTTTACAGGTGGGGGAAAATCATTATTGTATGAATGAGACAAGGAGATTTAAGGTTGTGTGTTGACCCAGGATTACATCTCAGTTACTTTACAGGGTCTTTCTTCCAAGGAAACACAGAAACAGAACAGGCAAGCAGCTTAATGATGTGCTAGGTGTGAACCCCAATTCACATCCTATCTCAGCCTCAAACTCAAGAGACACCCTTGGACAAGCGTCTCCTTTTCAGTATCACAGCTTCAGTTTAGACATTCTGTTGCAGTGCCAGAAAATAAATTACTGATCTATCTTGTTTGGTTGATAAGAATGACATAGCCGTTCCTGGAATGCACTTTATGATATATGAAAGAGCTGTAAAAAAAAAAAAGGCTGCATCATTCTTTTAGCTGAGAAGCAATAAAGGGTTGAGAGAAATGTCTCAATATTAATACTGAAACTTCGAACAGCATCTCAATGTTTTAATGGTAATCTTTCAATGTGACTTTAGATGTGGAATGAAGAATATTTTGTACCCTTGCTTGGACCACACTTTTTTAAAGTATTCTTTCTGGTAGCCAATGGCTGCAGGAGACAGAGGAGGACTTAAAATTTCTGAGGATTCTGTTTCAGTTTCCTATTGTACATATGTAGTACCAACTAAAGGACTATTTCCTTATTATTATTTTTTTACTGGAAACTGGGTGGGAAATTGCTCCACCGATTTTTAGCATTTCTGTATTGTAATCCTGATACGTGGGAGAGGAAATAGAACAACAAAAAGAAGCCCGAGCTTTTATAATTAAGAATCATTTAGAGTCAGGCAGCATCAAATCAAATCAAATCAAATTGTACACGTACATACATATACAATTGTTTTATTATTTATGGACGATGTCATTCCTGCTTTCTGTCATGCAGAAGGAAGTTACTCTAAAAGCTAAGAAAGAAAACTGATCCTGGCTCAGGATTAAAAGTTAAAGCAGCTCACAAAATGTGAAGTTGGGTATCAAGCTGAGGCTGCCATACTATAACATAAATCATTGCCATTTTATCTGTCTGAATTTTACTCCTTGTCCCAACCTGCAAATTTGTTTACAGGACAAAACATTTGACATTCATACAAAACATTGTATGAGTAACAGTAGGAATTACGTGTAATGCAAATAGAGTTCAAGAAAGAAATTTGGTTTAAAAGATCTACGCAGAATTCTAAACGTACCCAGGAGATTACAAATTCCTATTTTCACTTAGTCAAACAGATCCCTGAGGATTAAGACTTTTCAGAGTGAGTGTTAGACATGGTTTAGGAGCTGCAAGAAATCGATCATTCCAGATAGAGACAGACAGACAGACAGACAGACAGACAGACAGACAGACAGACAGACGAAGATAGATAGATAGATAGATAGATAGATAGATAGATAGATAGATAGATAGATAGATAGATAGATCTTATTGATTAGAGAGCATTGTTATCAGCATGAATATGAAAAAATACTGGAATATGACTCTTAAACCAGCCATAATATTCATTCTTGTAAATGTTCTAAAAGGTTGTGGGAACTTTTTATGGGAATATTTATGAAAAGTGCCAGTGATTGCAAAGAAACAGGGAGAGAATGACTTCATTGGAAAATCCTGAGCAGAAATACATTTACAAAGTTCTCCAATCTTAGAATAAAAATAGTAGACTTAATCCAATATAAATTCATATTATCATACATTACAACTTTCCAGAAGAATTCCATTGTAATCTATTATTATATATTCTTACTACAACTATATAGTGTCATGATAGATTCATTTATTATACTTGAACATCACTCTTTTAAAAAGGTTCATGTAGGGGCTAGCAGAAAAGTTAAAAACAGCAACTGTAAAATCAATGTAATTACAATGTACTGTTAAATCTGAAAGTTCAGTTTAAAAACAATATCAAGCAGAGAATAAAAACCAAGTGCTAAAACAGCTATAAATATTACAGTAAAGTTTACCAGCCATGAGAAATAAATGCCATTATTTTCCTGACCTCTGTAGAGCGCCAGGATGGCTGAGAAAGAGGCACTGGAATCGTGGGTACCCTGTAGATTTGACCTAACTCTGAAGGGCGATAAAGACTTTAGAGTAAGACATGGGAGATGTTATGGAAATCTCTGTGAAGACTTCTTATAGCAGTCATTGTTAGTGTCAAGAAAAGAAACAAAAAATTATCCAGCAAAAGAATTTCTAACATGCTGAGAAATGTCTTCTTTCAGATCTTAATTCCTATCTCCCTCTATATATCGATTGAACTAGTCAAGTTGGGCCAAGTTTTCTTAATTCATAATGATATTGACTTGTATAATGAAGAGCAAGATTTGCCCATACAGTGCCGAGCACTCAATATCACTGAAGACCTGGGACAAGTTCAGTATGTCTTCTCTGACAAGACAGGGACACTGACGGAGAACAAGATGGTATTTCGAAGATGTACAATTAATGGGAAAGAATTTTCACATCAGGAAAATGGTAAGGTTTGTGTGCTTGCTCTTAAGTGCTAAATTAACCTGAATGTGAAAACTGCTGGTGGAGAAAGAAATTCGCTTCAAAAATGAAATACAAATGTCCTGCAGCTTAGTCCTTTCCTGGAAATTAAGAAGGAGATAGACCACAGGATACATTGTGTGCAAATAAGAGACATGACTATACCAGTGGTGGGATTCAAATAATTTAACAACCGGTTCTCTGCCCTAATGATTTCTTCCAACAACAGTTCACCAAACTTCTCAGAAAGTTAACAACCGGTTCTCCCGAAGTGGTGCGAACTGGCTGAATCCCACCACTGGACTATACCATATGTGCATTTATCTATAGAGGAGTTTCTCACAAGGTAAACCCTTTGTGATTCCAGTCCCTTATACATAGAAGGGTACAGAAGATTATTTTGAGATAGATGCTATTTGCACCTCTGTGAAAACAATGAGTTTATATGAGGAGAAGCTAAACCAAGATCAGCTTAAGCTTTAAACAAATATAAGATATCCATCCAGCATTCATTTTGGAAATGTGAGGGAACCTCATCTCAGCTCTGGGATTTTCCAATTTTTTGCTTCACTATAATTGTCTACTTCAACTTCACCCCCATCCCAAGGAACAGCAGTGAAGACATTCACAAAGCAGTGCAGAAGTGCAGCAAATTTTGTGAAAAATAAAGTCACTAGTTGTATGGGAGTGCCTTCAAACACCCCATTGTAAGGAAAGGAATGGCTGAACCTGAGGATGGAATTAAAAGCCTAGAATTTCTACGTGGCCACAAGCAAGCTAAGTCCAACCCCTCTTGAATCCCATTCATCCTTATCTAATTCCTAGATTGTGTGCAAGAGACCTGAATTCCTAGCGGTGCTAATCATTAGTTGAGCCTATTCCTGTGCATATGCATGAGTAGCAATAAAACTGTTTAATTAGAGCTTCATGTGTGAACTTTTGCGCCTGACTCCCATTCCCCTTAAGACTTAATTCCTGCCCCACAGGTGACTTGCAGGACTGCCTCTCCCCCATTGTTTCTGTCTGCCCCGCCAGAACTAATAGAAGGGGCACCTTTCTCAGGACTTTGAAGGGGAAAACACAGTGATCTCTTTTTTCCCACTAAGACTCATGTGGAATAGATTGATGAGTATAACTGGCTTAAAGTCAACTAGTGAGCCTTGCAATGTATTGGGACTTGATGCTGGGTCTTCCAAACTCAAATCCAACATTTTAACTACTACATTTTCTTGGTTCTTTCTATCTCTCATAGCTAAGCGATTGGATTCATACAAGGAAATTGATTTGGAGACTGAAAACTGGAAAAAACATTTGAGCCTCCCTTCCAAAGTTGGAGAAATAACCACAGTAACAGAGAGAAACAATGCAAGGCCTTTGCAAAGATGTCATAGTGCTCGGCCCCATTTTCAGGGACATGCGAGAAAGAAATATCAGGGTCTCTGGGGAATTGTTCCATCTCAGGTGGCATTTAGTAGCACCCTTGTAAGTATGACCTTTCACTTCTTTAAATTATAAAACCTTACTCCTACAGCCGGTTTAGGGAAGAAAAAAAAAGTCTCAGCTGTAACTGTAAGAAACAGAAGATAATATTGAGGTGTTCAATAGGTGCCAGTCACCAGGCAAAATTTGGTCTGAGATCCTATGATTATGTATACATATTTGAAGTAAACCTTTTGAGATTAGTAATATGCGAGTTGCGGGATACGTTTTGCCTTATTTGAGAGGGTCATATTTTCTCCCCTCTGACTTTTTAAAATTAATTTTTATTGCTTTTTTTAAAAAAAATAGCAGAAAAAGTGAAACAGAACAGAACCCAAATATAGTTACAATGCAAATACATATAAAAACTACATAGAAAAAGTGGCTGAAATTTTAAAAATGCATTTTTATCTGTTGTATTTTTCCTCCTATGTTATAAAGAGGTTATAGTTGAACTTGAGAGTTCAGACCAAAGCACATTCCTACAGTATATTGAGTCCTAGTGAGCAATAATACAAGGTAAATTTCGGCTTTACAAACAAGACAAACCTAGCCTCAAATTCTTAGAGGTAGAACAGCAATTTCTGTTTTAAAGATCTATATCAGGAATAATAATCAGTCAGGAATAATAAGGAGGTAAAAAGAATAAATAATAATTTAGCATGCCGAGAAGGCACAGGAGTTAAAGGTTAGTATAATGACACCTTCAAATATCTGTCTCTTAAGACCATTGACAAGAAATCAGGCAAGTAGCTACATTACATGGCAAAATTGTATGTGAGCGCTTTTTTAAAATATTAGGCAAAAATCAGGCAAATGATCCAGAGAAGCAAATGCAAATGAGAAGAACCATGTACATCAATTGGTATCAGTCTAAGCAGATTATTGTTTTCCTGATGCAAATGTGCTTTTTTGGTTATTAGAAGAGAATTAAATATAAATATGGGGCAGTGAGAGCAAGCACTAACAACAATCACTGCTGACTGTTGTTAGTTAAAGACTCCCTGCCTTTACACTTGAAGAAAACCCATAAATCTATCTTGAACCAGCCCACATTCCTTCCCAACTTGGAGCCAGCAGTATTTAGCAAAATGTCTCTGGAATCTAGAAAATGATATCCAATCCTTCCAAAAGCAAGATGCAAAGACGTTGAACTATGGACTCCTTGGTGCTCTCTGAGCTTGTTTGTTTTTCTTACAGATGTATACCAAACTAGGTAACATCATCAGGTTGGTAATGAAACATTTGCAAGAAAACAACCTAGCTCAGGGAGCACCAAGGCCTCCATAGTTCAACCCTGAGCTATAAATATTCTCTTCTAGATGACCTATAATGCAGATGCAGGTAATAATTTTTAACAGTAGATCATACTTTGGGGGAAAAAACAATTTCTTGGGCTTCTTGGACAGAGACAGGCATGGCAGGACCTGATATCTTTCCCACAGAAGGGTGGAGCAGTATTTTAAGGGTATGTTTTTCACATTTTAGGAAACGTGGCAGTTATTGATAATAAGCTAATTCTGTCTGAGATTTTGTGCATCTGTTTCCTTTCACATGCCCCCAAAAAGCAAAGAGAAGTTAAAGAATCACAGTTCAGGCAGTTCACCACTGAACTTAGGAGCAGAAACTTAAGAAAATTAGAGGGCCACATATTGTAGCAATAGCAATAAGACTTTGTAGACCTCTCTAAGTGGTTTGCAGAATCAGCATATTCTCCCCAACAATCTGGGTCCTCATTTTAATGACCTCCGAAGAATGGAAACCTATGTGTTATTGACCCCTATTGAAATTGACACACGAACTGTGATATTGGACACAGGTTATTTGTGTGTTCGTGTATGTATTCAGCAGCAGAAGTTGCCTTTGTGTTTGGATTGGTATCGTTCTGTACATAGTGTTCTTCAAAACTTTATAATACCCAGCATAAGATGTTATTTTTCACACAATGCTAATCCTGCAAATGTTTGTTTTAACTGAATAATATGCATTTCAGGAGAAAGATGTGACCCCTGACAACAAGCTGCTGATGAAAATGAAGAACCTCTCATGCCCACCAGAATCTTTTAAATCCTTTACTGATGGAGAAACCACATCTTCCATCACAGACTTCTTTCTTGCTCTGACCCTCTGCAACACGGTAGTGGTCTCTACAGCAACTGAACCAAGGCAAAGGGTAAGCTTTCACTTTGACTGCCTTGCTAGTCAAGGAAGAATGTTCTATTAATTTATTCAATGTAATAGTTGAAAGCATATGGCAACCACTCTCAAGTGGTTTCTTTCTTTCTAAGAAAGAAATCTTACTTTATGATAATGGAGAATGCTTCCCTAATTTTGGCCTTCAGTAATTCTAGTTAATATCCAGAATTCCCTACCTTTTTGTGTGAATGAATTTAATCTACTGTGTTTCCCCGAAAATAAGGCCCTGTCTTCTATTTTTTTTTCTTTTTTTGAATCCTGAAATAAGCTCTTGGCCTTATTTTCAGGGAGGTCTTATTATTTTGGGGTATGTGGAGCAAGTTGGGGCTCCTCTTGCCGTCTTACCTGATTTCCAGCTTTGCGTTTAAATATTTTCGGGGAGGGCTTATTTTCGGGAGGAGGCTTATTTTAGTGCATGCGCTCAAAAGCCCAATTGGACTTATTATCAGGGGATGTCTTATTTTGGGGGAAATAGGGTATATCACACCGAAAGGAGAGAGAAAGGGCAAGTAAAAAAATAATTCACTGTACAGAAACAAGTTTCAAGCAATTCCTTTATCAAGGACAATACAAAATAATAACATATAAATACTTTATACAATTTTATTCATGTAAAAAAAAATCCACACTTGAGAAAAGAGAAGACACATTCAACAGAATATATTGTTGGAATCTACAACTAAAGAAACACCTTTTGAGATGAATGAACCAATTCTATTTATTTATTTTTCTCTAAATCTTTGGGAAAAAATGAGAATATCAAAAATCTGGACCAAATCCAAAGTACATCCATTTGCAAAAATGAAAAACATCCACTTTTAAGAAGAAAAAGGTGAAACTAATTAAATTTACATTTTAAAAAAGCATCAGTTTCTTTCATTACTTTTTTATTATTTATATTCTCATGTTTAAAAATGAACTCACAGATTCTCTAAAAGGTTCTTCAAAAAGAAAAAAAAGGCCCCCAATGCCTAAGTATTTTTTCTCTACTAAATTATGAAGAATAAAGTCAAGAAATAGGTTTATTTTAAATAATACATTTAAGCTACCTGTGCTTATCAGTTAAAACATGCCAATTAAAAATCTCTAGCAAATTTACTCTGAAAAAGAACAGCCAATGTTAATGAGGATCTTTTCTTCTGTGAAAAAAAGAAATCCTTTACTGCTGGAGAAACTCTGTTCTTAAAGAGAAACTAATATATTTAGCTAAACTAAATACTAACCTTAGGATATATTGTATTTCTTCATTATAACAGAAATATTAATTAATTAATTAATTAATTAATTAATTAATTTTATTTTATTTCAAATTTATATACCACACCTTCTCCCAAGGGACTCAGGGCAGTGTACAGCCAGATTAAAATGACCCGGTCAAAATTTAAGTCATATTGCAAGTTTTTAAATTTTATTAGAAGTTTTTTAAAAAACAAGATAAATTTTTATTACACTCTCCGTAAGATTTTTTTTTTTTATTTGATTTATATGCCGCCCTTCTCCAGAGACTCAGGGCGGCTTACAATGCGTTAAGCAATAGCCTTCATACTTTTGTATATTTTATACAAAGTCAGCTTATTGCCCCCACAATCTGGGTCCTCATTTTACCTACCTTAGAAAGAATGGAAGGCTGAGTCAACCTTGAGCCTGGTGAAATTTGAACTTGCAGTAATCGCAGGCAGCTGATGTTAATAACAGTGCTTTAGTCTGCTGCGCCATCAGGGCTCTAGATCTTTATAGCACACTACTTTATCCTCATTTAGGACATACATTCCTTTTAAACCCTTACAAGTAACTTTCACCCCAACACCCCAAATCTATTATGGTTTTCAGTCAATACAAGTTCTGGTTTCAGCTGAGGATTTAGCCAAGTGATTTAGAGCCCCTCGCTGAAGGAGATGGGCAGTTGAGAAATATGAAATATAAATAAATAACTAAAAAATATATACAAAACAACTCCATTTCTTTTTTTAGCTTCTGCTGAAATAAATTCTTCACACAGGTTTTATAACTTTTTTTCCATGTGTGGCTTGTGGGGAAATTACCATATTTTTCGGAGCATAAGATGCACCAGAGTATAAGATACCTTGGTTTTTGGGGAGGAAAATAAGAAAAAAGTTGATTGGCAGGTGGATCGGTCTCCGGAATACCCCAATCAGCTGTTCCCAGAAGTGAATTTTAGCAACAGCTTCCTTGGTTGTGAGCTCTTGTGCCTTCCTCTTTTTTTTGCTTTTTTTTCTGTCTCTGAAACTTCTGAAACTCTGTTTCAGAAAAAACTTTTTTTCCTGCCTCTGAAAGCCTCCAAAACAGAACTTTGTTTTCTAAAGCAAAAAAGCCTCTGAAGCTCTGTTTGGGGTCTTCTTTTCTGAAGCTTCATTTCTAATGCTTTTTTCAGCCTCTGAAATCTCCATTTGAGAAGCTGGGCGGGTCTACATTCGGAGTATAAGACACACCCAGATTTTCACCCACTTTTTTGGGGGGAAAGGTGCATCTTATATTCTGAAAAATACGGTATATCTTGTTTTTCAAATGATCTTTTCTCTTTTGAGAAATATTTGCTCCATTAATATTCCACATTAAGCATTTGTAATCCATAATCAACCCCAAAATTTAGAAGAATCAATATGTGTAGTATGTAGTTTAGTCTCATCCCTGTTGTGACCCCAGCCCCGGAAGCTGATTTATCTTCACATGCTGATTCGGAGGATGATATGGAGGAGGAGAAAGCTGTCACAAGCTATGTGCTGGAGGGGCTGTCTTCACTGGTGAGTCAGCAAGAACTGGCAGTTGCTGACATGCCTATGGACCCCAGCCAAATTGAGGAGGAAACAGAGGCCGGTAATGACGAGGGGGAGCCCCTATTGGATGCAAGGGAGAGACGTAGGAGACGTCGTAGAGAACAGCTATTGCCACATCCTAAGAGGTGTGGTCAGGAGACATAGGGCCACACCCTACAAAGCATAAAAGGGGTGTGACTGGGCTGGAAAGGCGTGGTGAACAAATTGTTGGCATTTTGGATGCAGTGGAGTTACAGCTGTTAGTTTGGAGTTTTTGACAAGAGTCTACATTCCTGCATTAGCCTACTGGCTGTCTGCCAAGACCTTTGGAACATTGCCCGGTAACTATTGGACTGATATATGCTTTGGAAGAGAACTATTTATTAAAGGGCCAGCTTCAGTCTCTCTAGCCTGTGTTTGTTACTGACGGGCTATTTGAGCCTCTGCAAGGCCACTCGCCACAATCCCTTTCAGTTTCTTATTGTACCTCCTGAAGGTTTTGTGCACTCTCATCTGAGCCCTCCATTTGAAACACTTCCAATTACTCTTTAATTTTTTCTAAAAGTTTCTTCATTTTCTTATTGCAATTTTTCTGCGTGTCCCATCTTGAAACTTACTTGTTTTTCAGAACTATTATTTTATGCACTCATAAAGGTCCTTATGGTTGAGCAAAGAAATATAATGTTTAGCTTTCTTCCTCTACCTGTCCTATCTGCTAAGCATTCAACTCAATGTAACCCAATAAAAGGAATTTTAGAAAATCATGAAGAAACTCTACAGTATTCACAAGATGCTACCCATGGATAAGATAAGCCTGGGAATGTTGTTTGGTCCACTTAATTGTATTTTATATACACACTTTTTCTTGAAGAGTTTTTTTTAAAATAATCTTCTCCATAAACTTACATAGAAACTTACATAGAAACAAGAATACACAAATGAACAACTTGAAGCTGAAATGCAGTAAAATGGGTTGACTCATACATCTCTATCTTTAATTAATTCTGCCATTTACAGTGAATAGGAGCTTCCGCCTATTCACTGTAAATGGCAGAATTAATTAATTCTGTCATAATTTTAAAAAACTATCTTTCTACACAATAAGAAAAAACATCATCTTAATGCAGAACATGAGTAGGCCATTTTTCAATCTGGAACCACAGTGTGATTTCTCACCCAAACTAAGATCCACAAAGGGCATAATAATGTTGTTACCACATCATAGCAAGCAAGACCAAGACTCCCCCTTCGTGTGTGCATGCATAGAGGGTTAAGTGGGTTAAGAGGCAGAATTAGTATTGTAAATAAACCAAGCAGGTGATTAAGAAAAACTGTTAAACACTTAACCATCACAATCATTTGAGAGTTGGGGATTTTTCTGAGGCTTAAGGCACTCACTTTTCCCCTTAAACCATTTACAGAGCTTAAAACACTGAAAGAGTACCCAGAAATTTCAGTTGTATCCATTCTGTCTCAATCATTTAAAAGGGTGCTATATATCCTAAGAAACATTCTGTAATGGGTTTATAAGTATCTCGATTCCTAAACTGTTCGTGTAAAGCTTTGATTTTTATCTACATAAGGAAGCCAACAAAAATCCTCCTGATCAAGATGTCCAATTAATGAGCCCCTCTGTTTGAGTAATGGCATTACTTGGCACCTTTTCCATTTTTCTTCTGTTAATGTGAAATGGTCCAATTTCATATTAGCTGTGCTGCAGAATGTTTGCTTTAATTAATCCCAATTCCCTCTTTTCTCTTAAGGTTACGACTCCATCACTGATGAAGCAGTCAGGCCTCTCCCTGGAGAAAATTCACCAGCTGTTCCAGTGGCTGAAATTGGCGAGCCTCAGCCAGACATCGATTCAATCGAGTTCAGACTTAGGAGAAAGTATTAACACAGAGAGCAGCACTGCCGCTGCGGAATCAAAAATGAAAGATGAATGTCCTACTCAAAGCTGTTCCAGCTTAACAGATGATGAGAGTCTTAGAAGGGAGTCCTTCAGTGAGAATGACCTCTGTGGGGTTTCAGGTCCCTCTCCAAATGAGAGGAGCTTTGCAAGCAGAGACCATGGGCCTTTCCAGGGAGAATTTTGTTATGAGGCAGAAAGTCCAGATGAAGCAGCTCTAGTCCACGCAGCCCATGCCTACCAGTTTACATTAGTCTCCAGAACTCCTGAACAAGTGACTGTAAGGTTGCCGGAAGGGACTCTTCTGACCTTTGACCTCTTGTTTACTTTGGGATTTGATTCCAGCAGGAAGAGGATGTCAGTGGTAGTAAGGCATCCCCTCACCAAAGAAATCATAATCTATACCAAAGGGGCAGACTCCGCCATAATGGATGTATTGGAAGAGCCTACCAAAGGTACAGAACTAGTGAACTAGGAGGAAGGCATAGCTTGGATTGTTGGACAATATCTTCAGGATTTACAGGGTTTCAATTTGCAGCAGAAACAATATACTTAGAAACCTTAGTAATGAAAATGAGAGCAAGGATGTTGATTTACATAATTAGAAAGGATATTGAACAGACTAATTAAGAAAGCCTACATTAATTTGTTTTTATGAGCACTGTATTAAAATGGTAAGAAACGAGCATAGTGATTCTCTAATAGGAGAAGATACACAAACTGGTAAGTAATCACATTGTAGGGCAAGGGTAAGGAACCCCTGACCTAGGCAGCTTTGTGGCTACTACTTCAGCAGCCCTAGCTAAAATGCCCAATGGTGAAAAATGCTTCAACAACATCTTAAAAGCCTTCAGTTGCCTGGGTTAGATGCAGGGGTGGGATGTTGGGGGTTCTCAGGGGTTCGGGAGAATCTCTAGCTAAGATTCTGTGCAGTTTGGAGAACCCCCAAATCCCACTCCTGGCTGGCCCCGCCCACCCATCCCCAGCCCTCGAAGGAGTCCTCATGCGGCCCATTTTGGATGCAGGTAAGTGGAGGGCACGTGCAGAGGCTCGGGGAGGGCAAAAAACAGGCCTACCGGACATTCGGGAAGGCCGGAAACGGGCCCATTTCCAGTCTCCAGAGGGCCTCCAGTTCCTGGGGAGATCATTTTCGCCCTCCCAGAGGCTCAAGGAAAGCCTCCAGAGGCCCGGGAAGGCAAAAATGCCCCCCCCAACCATGGTGCAGGAGGCTGATTAGGCCACGCCCACCCTGGCCATGCCCAACCAGGCAGAGAACCCCTTGCTAAAATTTTTGCAAGGTTAATTAATAAGGAACAAGTTGCCTCTGTGCATGTATAAAGCAGAATCAAACACAACGTGTAGGTAATGTTTAAATCTTAACAGACAGAAATAAAAATGCCCACAGGGACTTTTTTGTGCCTCAAAACAATGTCTTCGTTTTGGGCTGCAGAAGGGTACTTAAGAGGGTACTGAAGTATTTCTTAAATCTGTGGTAAGATTTCCTTTGTGTTTCACAGCTAGTGTGGCCATGGGAAAAAGGATAAGAAGAGTGAGAACACAAACACAAAAACATTTAGATTGGTACGCACGTGACGGTCTGAGAACTCTATGCATAGCAAAGAAGGTAATTCTTTTTTTTAAAATGGTAATAATAGCAATAATAATGACAACCACTTCAGTAAATGACTTGTTTTGACACTTTGAGCCAATTCCCTGATGGCAAATGCTTTGTTACCTTGATTAATTTCTTACGGTTCTTACTGCCCCCTCATCTGAATCATCTTAAAATGAAGCTAAAGGAAAGCAATACTCTAATCCAGTCTTTTGACATCTGCTCTTCCTATTACTAACTTTTGAATATCAGAAACACTTGCAATCAAATAGAGCTTCTCTGTTGGTTGTTGAAACATTTGGTACTCCGGCTAAGCTGGTTAATCATAGTGTAAATTACAAACTGCGGTTTTTATCCCGCTTTAGTTTAGAAGAAGCATCAAACCCTGCATAAACATTTCTGGATTGCTACAGAGAAAATGATATGTGAATTACAGTCTTTGGCCAATGATCAGAAAAATGGAAAATGTGTTTGGAAGTTATTGTTCTCAGTAGCACTGAGTGTTAGCTTGAAATATTAGGAAAATAAATATTTTCATTTTGGAACCCTTACCTGATAGGAGAAAGAAACAGCAGAAATCCCATCATGATGACTTGAAGACATGCAGCAGCTGATTGGCAAAACTCACCTGCCTTTAACAAATCTTGCCTCTTTACAGTATGCACAGGATGGAATGCAAAACAATGCAATATATATATTTCCAGAAGGAAAAACATGCAGCACCATTTGCTCTTAGACCTGCTGGAAAATCAAACATCTATATGCATAAAAACTATTTTAGTCCGTCAGTGGAAAGATGTTAAAGAAGGGACAAAACTGGGTATGCCAGACTTTTTGGAAGAGAGATCTTTTGCATTCTTCCCTCTGATAATAATAGAACAGAAAGGAGAACTTCCCCAGAGGATCTTAAAGCCTGAGTAAGGTCATATGGGAGACTTTTTTTTTCTTTCAAACAGCCTGATCCCACATTGTGGAAAGCTTTATAGGGGATAACTAGCACTTTGAACTGTGGCCAGAAACAGCTTGGAAATCAATAATGCTCTTGCAGTAAGGGAGATGTGCCCACTAAAACTGAAGGTCAATTGCCTGCCTGCAGCATTTTATGCCAATCAAAGTTTCTGAATCATTTTCAAAGGTTAGTTCGTTGTGATTGTGTTAATGGCTGCTTCTATATGATATAATGAAGACATGTATCATCATCTAACCTCTCCAGGAATACGTGCAGTTTGCACACTAGCTGTAGCTGTGCAAATGGACTCATGGCCAAATTGTGAGCAAAAAAGAATCACAGTTCTTTCCAACACAGATGGAATCCCTGATCCCCAATCTGTCTTAGACAGGAACATTTCCAATTTATTTGGATTAAGCTTCTATTTGTTTTTCCGTCATGTAATCCTTTATTGACAGTAGTAGGTATTAAATAGCCTTCTTGGATTTAGGTGGAAAAGACATACAGAATTACATCTCATCAGGATTTGGCAGCATCAGATGTCAAGAATGTGAACAAGCCTCCCAGAAATTTTAGGAGCATTTTAAATAGAGTGATGGAGAAAATGAAATTGTGAGGAAAACTATTAACACCTTCCAATAACATCTTCTAGATAGTCCTGTATCACCATACACCAGTTCTCCAAGTCCCATCCTATACCAGAGAGAGACTCTGGGAGAACATCTTCATAATAAATATTAAATGCTGTAATATTAGTATCACTAGTATTAAAATCATCTAGCATTCTAGCAAAACAAAAGAGATGTTTCCACTGTCTGGTTTTTGGAACGTATCATCTGCCAAAGTGATACCAAACTCTGTCGATAACATTTACAGTAATGTAATTAAGATATGAGGCTTTTTATTATTATTCCAGTTGTACATATTATGGTTTTATTGCTCAAATGATACTATCTCATTGCTGTGGAATATAAATACCAAGAGGCAAAGCTCCTGCACTTTAGGACTGACTTTGTTATTAAACAGGGTAAAACCTCAGATGGCATTATGTGAGTGGTGAGCTATAGCAATAGCACTTAGACTTATATAATGCTTCACCGTGCTTTACAGCCAGTGGTGGGATTCAATTTTTTTAACAACAGGTTCTGTGGGCGTGGCTTAGTTGGGGGTGTGGCTTGGCAATCATGTGACTGGGTGGGCGTGGCTAGCTGGTCACGTGACTGTGTAGGCGTGGCTAGCTGGTCATGTGACCGGGTGGGCATGGCTATGTGCATAGGGACTACTCAGAGGGCTGAAAAAAGTCATTTCTGACTGGGCCTCGCACTTTTGACCGGTCCTCACACTTATGACCATCCTCACATTTATGCCCGTGCAGCTTTCTTAACAACCATGTCACTCATTTCACAACTGCTTTTCTTCACCATGGTGACAAGATAGGGCAAAAATGTAAAATGTGAGGACAGTCGTAAGTTTGAGGACTGGTCAAAAGTGCGAGGACCAGTCAAAAATAACTTTTTCAGCCCTCTGAGTAGTCCATATGCACAAAAGGACTACCCAGAGGGCTGAAAAAAGTCATTTCTGACTGGGCCTCGCACTTTTGACCGGTCCTCACACTTATGACCATCCTCACATTTATGCCCGTGCAGCTTTCTTAACAACCATGTCACTCATTTCACAACTGCTTCTCTTCACCATGGTGACAAGATAGGGCAAAAATGTAAAATGTGAGGACAGTCGTAAGTTCGAGGACTGGTCAAAAGTGCGAGGACCAGTCAGAAATAACTTTTTCAGCCCTCTGAGTAGTCCATATGCATAAAAGGATACAGCAATAGAGAGGGATGAAGGAAGGGAAGGGAAATTAGAGTAGGAGAGAGAGGGAGGAAGAGAGGAGGAGAAGGAGAAAGGAAGAGGAAGTAGGGAGGAGGAGAAGAGGGGGAGGAAGAGAAAGTAAGAAGGAAAGAAAAGAGAGAGGTGGTAGGTTTGAGGAGAAAGATTGCTGTACAATAAAAAAGATGAAAGGGAAGAAAGCCAACCCCAAACAAATATAAAGATATTAAGATAAAGAATGAATTGTTAAACTTTAAAGAATAAAAGAGAACAAATATGAATAAATAACAATAATTAGAAACACACATACAAACATACAATGTATTTTCTTTGAGCAGAGTATTTGGCCGGTCACAAATTTAAACAGTGTTTAGTCATTTCAATTAAATTTACAATTTCTATATTTCCTTTTTGCCATATTTATTCCTCATCTATTTTTGTAAAAAACCAATATTACCCTTCATCCTCATCTCTAATCTTAATCAAATTCAATTTTTCCCTTCTATTCTATATTATACCCCTTCCCATTGTCATCTATTTTTATATCCATCCTCACATTGGTTAATTATGTAATATTAGTTGTTTAATATAAATTCAACATTTTAATATAAATCAATTAGTTATATAACTACCTTTTTTGTATATTAATCAATATGAACATGAATATTCCAATTATTTCCATGCAATCCAATTTCTTACAAATCAATTAATTATATTTACCAATAATAATAAACCAAATAATTTCCCCCATATATTCCTCCAAACCACAACTTAACCATTTCTGCTTTCAGAAATATACAATTAATAGTATCTCAATTATTACAATTCCCTAGTTAAATAGAGCTTTTTTTCTTTTGTGTTTTAAAATCTTGAACTCTCCTCTTTTTCCCTAAATTTCCCATTGTTTGCACCTACCTTTTTTGGTGAGGAAAAAGAAAAGAAATCTGCCTGCCTAATTTTCCAACCTTGCAGCAACAGCAAAGCAGTTTCAGTTTCGTTTTTCAGCATAGCTAGGGGAAAAAAATCTGCTCCAGGACTCTTTGCAAGGAAGCAGCAGAGCCCTGAGCGAAACAGCTGAGACAAATCAGCTGAGAGTCGGGAGCCGATCTAATCAAGGGCTAATTAGCCTATGCTGAAGCTCCGTGGGCCAATAAAATTACAAAAATACACTGAACCATTTGTTAAATTGCTGGCTCGGCCGCCCCTCACCCACCACTATTTATTGGCAATAAATAGTGGGGAGGGGCGGGGCAAGCCAGGAATTTAACAAACGGTTGGCTGCATCACTGGCTATAGGGCGGCCCTTTGAAGCCCCGCGGCAAGAATTTGAACAGTTTTTTTTTTCCTCTAGCCATCAGCTGGGACTCCGGAGGCAGGAATAGATTGGGAGTGGGCAGGGTAAGCGAACGGCCGGCGATCCAACAGAGCAGAGAGTGAGGGTGAATGAAGGCGTGGGGGGCGAGAAAGGGCTTTGGTGACCCCTGTGAAATGGCCGTTCAACCCCCAAAGGGGTCGCGACCCCCAGGTTGAGAACCGCTGGTTTAATGCTCTGGAAGTTTTTCTCTCCCAGGCAAGAAGCAGCAGGGGACAGAAGCAGCAGCCACTGACTTGCAGACCACATGGAGCTCTTCACGTGTTCTCCGGCAAGCTGCTTTCTCCATCCTGCTCTCTTGCGTCCGGAGCCGGTGGGGAACCACGTGGCAGCCCACGTGGATCCCAGGCAGCGGAACTCAGGCTAGGGAAGGGTGGCCAATTGTGGCTCTTTTACAACCTGTGGCCTTCAACTCCCAGAATTCCTGAGACAGCCAAGCTGTCTCAGGAATTCTGGAAGTTGAAGGCCACAGGTTGTAAAAGAGCCACAATTGCCTACCCCTGGCTAGGGTAGGCTGGCGCCGTGCGGGTGGGAGGAGGGGCGGGCGAGCCAGCAATTTAACAAATGGTTCGGTGTGCTGCGGGACCAATAAATTACAAAAAAACACCGAACCGTTTGTTAAATTGCTGGCTCGCTCGCCCCATTTATTGGAATAAATAGTAGTGCGGAGGGGCGGGGCAAGGGGCGGGGCGAGCCAGCAATTTAACAAAGGGTTCGGCCGAACCCCCTAGAACCGGCAGAATCCCACCACTGTTTACAGCCATTTCTAAGTGGTTTACAGAGTCAGCATATTGCCCCAAACAATCTGGGTCTTCATTTTACTGATCTCAGAAGGGTGGAAGGCTGAGTCAATCTTGAGCCAGTGAGACTTGAACTGCAAACTGCTGGTAGCCAGCAGTCAGCAGATGGAGCCTGCAGTACTGCATTCCTTCTAACCACTGTGTAATCACAGCTCACAATAGTTTTGAAGAATACTCTATACCAAATCACCTAACTTGGATGCCATTTATGAGTTGGGGGGCCCTCAGACTCAATGGAAGATGCTATTCCATTATCAATGCTGAAATGCTGAAGGCTCAAGGTTGACTCAGCCTTCCATCCTTTCTAAGGTAGATAAATTGAGGACCCAGCTGTGGGGGCAATAAGTTGACTTTGTATAAATATACAAAGGAATGAAGGCTATTGCTTAGCGCATTGTAAGCCGCCCTGAGTCTCCGGAGAAGGGCGGCATATAAATCAAATTTTAAAAAAATAATAATAATAATTCTGTTTCTGGTCTTGTTCATGGACTTTGCAAGGATGTCCAGGGTTTTATTTCAGACAGCACGTTCTTAGGCTTGCTTTGATCATGATTCAAAGTACAGGACCTCATCTATGCTTTATCCACTGAGAATCTTTGGACGTCATCTCATATAAATGCCTCTGAGGACAGAATAAAACTTCAAATTCTTCTCTGTCAGCTCAGATACTGGCATTCACAAGCCATAGCTCATCTCTTAACTCACAGTTTCTCCTACTGAAAATGCTTTATTTTCCTTCATTAGAATTTCCCTGTATTCCCAGAATTCTTATTAAAATAAAACATAGCTGTATTTTCTTCAAAGTTAACTCGATTTTTAGGACATAATGCTTCATCAAATCTATTGCTTCAGGCTGTGTGTTTGTAATTTTGCATACTTTGTGCTCAGTTGTCAAAATACTATTAATTGCTACCTGACTCTATTTGTAATTGTGAAGTAACACTACTCTAACTTTTATAACCCATCATGGTTAGTGATAATGTATTAGAATTGCAGTTGGTAACAACAAATGTTCTAATGACTGAATCAGACTAGAGATGTTGATCTCCACCAGCCTAATGACAGGCGTTTAATATTTTCACTTACATGTTGACTTTACATCATGACAGACATTAAGTGAAGAGGAATTTCGAAAATGGCTCAACTTTCATCATGAGGCAGAAATAGCTGTTGACAACAGAGATGAACTTTTAATGGAAGCAGCACAACATCTGGAAAGTAAACTCACCTTATTAGGTATCTTGAAGTATTTATTCATTCTAGGCTAATTAACCTGATAGTCGTGATTACTAATAAATTACTTATATCTGGCCCTACAATTACTTGGAAATGAGTCATTATTTAAAGCAATTCTTACCTGTATGATTTGTAGAGAAATGATTATTACCATTGCTGTCTATCATACGTTTATCCATGCTATGCATTTGCAATGCATAATCCCCAATATTAATATAATCATATACAGTAGTTGGGCCACGCATGAAATAGACTTTGCAATCATTCTGTCATCCTATTTATGGAAATGGAAATCAGTATCCCAATACAGGTTTAAAATTAGCATTACCTGATTCCAGGGGTGGGTTCTAAATTTTTTTACTACCGGTTCAGTGGGAGTGGCTTATTTTATGGGCATGGCTTGGTGGTCATGTGACAATTCTTTAGGATTTAGCAAAGGTACTGGTCTACCAGGCTTTTAACTGCTTGCAGAGCTGTACCGCTCTACCTATTTATTTTTTGCAGTCACTGATCTACTCATGTATTTTTGCAGGCACTGGTCTACCCATTTATTTTTTGCAGGCACTGGTCTACCCATTTATTTTTGCAGGCACTGATCTACTCATGTATTTTTGCAGGCACTGATCTACTCATGTATTTTTGCAGGCACCGGTCTACTCATTTGTTTTCTTTTAACACTGATCAGCTGTAGGGGGGCCCTTTGAAGCCCTGCGGCAAGAGTTTAAACAGTTTTTTTCCCTCTAGCCATCAGCTGGGACTCAGGAGGCAGCAATAGATTGGGGTGGGGCCAAATAAAAGGTAAGACTAACGTGGGGGGGAGTGGGGGGGCAGAACCAGTTCAGTGATGTCATATTATCACCCCTACCGGCTTGGGAGAACCGGACCGAACCGGGAGGAACCCACCACTGCCTGGTTCTGAGTCAAGGATAGCCAATGTACCACCTGCTTGGGCAGGAGTTGGACTAGATGATCTACAAGGTCCCTTCCAACTCTATTAATCTGTAATCTGTAACCTACCAGTTGCATCTCAGAAACCCAAAGCATGAAATGACATCATTCAGGTGTACACTACAGCACATATGTCTTATATGTCATGTCTTCTGAGCACTGATGTAGACAATTTTTCTTCATTATGTTCTATTCTTGTGTCCTATGAAGACTTCTTTGCACCAATCCAGAATCCTATAAATGTCAGCTGTGAGTCACAGCTTAGCTATCCAGGTTTTATGCAATAGTTTGTATTCAATATATAATGCTTAAAATTTCCAATAATGTTATATTGATCCCAGTAGGAAAGATGTTATTACTCTTTCAGTAATTATTTTCAATGTTAATTTAGTCAAGTTATTTTAATTCTGGAACATCTCAAGCCAGGGAATATGATTTTCTAAATTTTGTGTTGAAACAATAGATAACCGTTTAGTAAATGGTTTTCAGTTAAACAGGTCAGTTTTCCATTAGTTTTCTCTTTTATTCTTGTGTAAGTTTTGACCTTTTAACCTCATCATCCAGAAGATAATGAAAAGCTAAAACAAATGTTCTCATGAAATCCTATGCCTCATTGCTCCAGCAGTGGCTCATGTTATGTGTATAATGAATGTATCCCAACCCCATAGTCCATACAGAACAAACTCTTGGCATACAAACCGTTTTGCATAAGCCAATTGTAGGAATTAAAAAGATGGTTTATATTCCAAAGTCCTAAAGAAGAATCTCTTGATCACAACTGTTTTGTAGAGCAATTATTGTGAAATATAACAAAAGTTAAATGTGGGGTATGGGTTGCTTTATCACATAGCAATTGTTTCCTAATTATTTCTAATTAATGGCAGAGAGCCTGGTTACTTGAGGACCACCTGTCTCCCATTATATCTGCCTGGCATGCTCTGGTTTCCATCAATTAAATACTGCCATTTATCTAGACCCCAGAGGTGTGCCTTCTCTGTGGCAGCAATCAATAATGCTGATTATTTCCTTTTCATAAGGAGCAACAGGGATTGAAGACCGGTTACAAGAAGGAGTGCCTGATACCATTGCTGCCTTCAAAGAAGCTGGAATCCAAACATGGGTATTAACCGGAGATAAGCAGGAAACAGCTGTCAACATTGCCTATTCTTGCAAACTTCTAGACCAAAGAGACACTGTGTTTACCATTAATACTGAAAGTAAGGTAGGTCCTAATGGCCAGCAGGAAGAATATTAGGGGTGGGCTGCTGAGAGTTCGCAGGGGTTTGGAAGAACCTCTAACTAAGATTCTGTGCAGTTCAGAAATCCCCCAAATCTCATTCCTGGCTGGCCCCCCCACTCCATCCCACCCCTCCCAGGAGTCCCCACACAGCCCGTTTTGAATGCAGGTAAGTGCAGGACGTGCGTGGAAGCTTGGGAAGGGTAAAAAACGGGCCTACTGGAAGTTCGGGAAGAATGGAAATGGGCCCATTTCTGGTCTCCAGAAGGCCTCCAGAGTCTGGAGAGGCCATTTTCACCCTCCCGGAGGCTCAAGGAAAGCCTCCAGAGCCCGGGGAGGGCAAAAACACCCCTCCCACCATGGCCACGCCCACCCAGCAACCAGGCAGAGAACCCCTTGCTAAAATTTTTGAAGCCCACCCCTGGAAAATATGCCATGAGAGGTAAATAATTTCTCATGCAAAGGTTTTTCAGAACAGGGTTGAATTGTGAAGGGGAAAAAAGAACTGAATCCAATGGTGTATTCCCATGGGTGTAAGAACCCATTTGTTCTCTCCAGAAAGCTTCCATCCCATACGTATTCGAAATCTGTTCCAGCTTCATAGTAGATTTTGAAGATGTGGGAAGTGGTGGGGAGAGGTGCGGAGAATTCTCACTATATGAATCAATACCTCCTTGTTTACTATACCATTGGATTACATGCGTGCTTTTAGAAGCAGCCCTGTATCACCCTCTTCAGAACCCAGGGAGATCTTGTGAATGCTGGCAACAAACTTTAAGATTTTAATATCATCATGTGCCTTAGGCAGTTTGCAAAAGAACTTGTCTCCACATGCTGTTGAGGTTTTGCTTGATACTTAATCATCGGCTTGCCATCTGTTCCTTATTTAAGGAAATTGATTCTTATTTAGAAATACTAAACTTTAGTACTAAATAAGTAATTCTTCTCTGAAATAACAAACAGGGGGTAAACCTACTTGCCAGATAATATTTCATTTACCAATGATGTAATAATAAAGGTTATTTAATTCATCTGCAATATGCAATAAAACAGTACATTTAGTCATGTACTATATATGCAGTAGTATTTTTCTCAATGCATCAGCAGTGAACACATTGCAATTTCTTCTGAATATACACTAATGATAGGAAATATTGTATAGCATTGTTTTTTAACCTGGTGTCCTCTAGATATCTTTATTTATAATCCCAATCATACCAATCCATGGTCTCAGATCAGTAGCTCAGGTCTCCCATATGGATGATGTAAATTGTAATCCAAAAGTCAAGACTTCTATTGTAAAACATGAATATACAAGCTAAGAATTAGCAAAGTACAAATTAACTATACATTAAGATTAGCTTGGATAATACACCACATTCTCCAATTTTGAATTGTTACTAAGTATTTGATCAAGTAACTTGTTGAATGACTTCTCTAAATCAGCACTTAACATTCTTCGATTTATGTGGTAGTCCAATGGAATGAATGATTATAAGTAATTAAAAGCTTAGCATATACTGTTTAGTAACAGAAGAATTCTTGTTTGCAGTGCCATGTAGCTTCCCAACTTATTCAGTTATTTTTTTCCATAGGAAACTTGTGAATCGCTGCTGGATATCATGTTGGAAGAGGTGCAGAAGGGTCGAGTGATTCCTAGAAAAATATGGAGTATTTTTGGCTTTAAGCTGCCATTTTCTTGGTCAACCATAGGACTTCCAAATCCCGTTATTGGACTAGTAGTTGATGGAAGAGCTCTGAATACTATTTTCCAAGGAAAACTTGAGCACAAGTTTCTTCAACTTACAAAATACAGCCACTCAGTTTTGTGCTGCCGATGCACTCCCTTGCAGAAAAGCATGGTTGTCAAACTTGTACGGAATCAGCTGAAAGTGTTGACCCTTGCAGTAGGTAAGCATCATGTGCCATCAAGTCACTGCCAGGGCTTAACAACTACATAGATACATTTTCTCCAGAATACTCTGTTTCCAACCTTGCCTATCATTTCATATTGTCTATCCATCTGGTTTTCTTGGTAAAATATAGGAATAGTTTACTATCACCTTCTCCCATACAGTATAACATGATGCTTTTATCTTTGCCATTGTTACTAAAGTGATCAATCGTCCTACATCACTGCTGCTCAGTATAGGTGTCTGGTTGCTCTAGGATGTTCTTTTCTGCCTTGAATGACCCTGCTGAGAATGTACACTCTTGGCATACACTCCCAGCATTCTTTGCACATTACACACATCCTAGGGCTGAGGCCCAAGGTCACCCAGCTGGCTTTGTACCTAAGGAGGGTCAACAATTCACAGCTTGTTTCTAGTCTGGTGACTTAACCACTACACCAAATGGGCTGTCATCTATCCATCCATCCACCTAACCATCCATCTATCCAAGCTAACTATTATCTATCTTCAGTGGGCTAGTATTTAGAATAGAATAGAATAGTATTTAGAATAGAATAGAATAACAGAGTTGGAAGGGACCTTGGAAGTCTTCTAGTCCAACCCCTTGCTTAGGCAGGAAACTCTATAGCACTTCAGACAAATGGTCATCCAACATCTTCTTAAAAATTTCCAGTGTTAGAGCATTCACAACTTCTGGAGGCAAGTTGTTCCACTCATTAATTGTTCTGTCAGGAAATTTGTCCTTAGTTCTAAGTTGCTTCTCTCCTTGATTAGTTTCCACCCATTGCTTCTTGTTCTACCCTCAGGTGCTTTGGAGAATAGATTGACTCCCTCTTCTTTGTGTGTTACTTGTGTTATTTCAGTGATACCATTGGAATGAATAGGGTTGATTTTTTAAAAAATAAAATAAAGAATCCTTCCCAAATCTACTATTTTCCGAGCAGTGTGATCTGAGATGGTGAATGGGAATATACAAAAATGAGCTACTCAATCATTAACAGCTGCTACTTAGTTGGAAATGTGAAAACTAGATATTATAATTGTCAAGGAATGAAGCAAAACTGTCTTACTGTACTATGTTTGGTTTTATGTCCAAATTATTTATGGATTGTGTAGCAGTCCAAAGGGTCCTTCCAAACTGGGTGAAGACATTAAATTAAATAATACGACTCAAAATTAACCATTGTAGAATGGGGGGGAAATCCCAACTTCACATTCAAGTAATGTGATAAGTTTGGAAATTGAATATGGATCATTTACCGGGTTTTGGGCTAAGTTCAAATATAAGAATGGGGTCTTAGTATTGTGTTTGATATGTCAGTGAAACATAACATATCATTAAAAAATTGCATGTTTCTGCTGAGAAAAAGGCAAAGTTGTTGAGCAAACTTATAAAGGAATTGAAAATGAAATAGTTGTTTTCACTGTCAATGATTTATAACAAAGTCTTCAGTGATTTGGATCAAGGTGAATAGGAAGAAGTTTATTTCTCTTGTTCATACTACTCAGATTTAGGCTCAAGCAATGGCAAGATTCAAGACAAACAAAAAGCAGTATCTTTTCATTTTATATCTAATTACACAAAGCTGGCCTCTGACATAAACCATATATTGCAGAATGAGAAATATGCTGAACAAATATTTCCCTTGCCTTACATACCATTTGTTCAGCCTAAGTCTCAGTCTGAGAGAAATATACATTTGATTCTTTTCTAGGTGATGGCGCAAATGATGTAGGTATGCTCCAGGCAGCTGATATTGGAATTGGCATTTCTGGACAAGAAGGTATGCAGGTATGCATAATAATGGAAGAATGCCCTCTTGCCCTTGGCATCAATTACATATTCAGAATTTTTAGGTGACTACATTCCTTATAAAAAGTGAACATAAGTATCTTCTGCTCTCTGTTATAACAAGGTAAGCAATATCCTTGAGAGATCAGAGTGAAATGATTTGCATTTATAACGAACCAAATCATTTGTATGCTTACCTTGATTATTCATTGAGGCATATGAACTTCTCCCATACAAATGTCCAAGGCTGTAATACTTCTGAACAAACATATTGTGCAGCAGAAAAAAATAAGGAAGGTTGATTAACAATAAGAAATTCTCTCTCCTCTCCCTCCCCTGTCTTTCCTAGGGGGGTTAATTCCATTGATAGAAACATCAATGGAAGCATAAGAATAGGCTTTCTTGTTGGTTGATACTTATGAACTGAGGCTGAATCACAACTCTGTTGTAATTCAGTAAAAGCATAGACGGATTGTCCAGCTTCTACCACTAAGTCCATATTCTCTGTGCAGCAGGAATGAAATCCAAATTTTTTCCCTACCGGTTCTGTGGGCGTGGCTTGGTGGGCATGGCAGGGGAAGGATACTGCAAAATCTCCATTCCCTCCTCTTCTGGGGGAAGGATATTGCAAAATCCCCATTCCCTCCCCATTCCTGGGGCCAGCCAGAGGTGGTATTTGCCTGTTCTCCGAACTACTCAAAATTTCCGCTACCGGTTCTCCAGAACCTGTCAGAACCTGGATTTCACCCCTGCTGTGCCGGACTACATTTGATGTGAAATTGTACTGGATTACAAGCAGTACTTGAGGATGTTTTCCTCAAGAAGTATTATGTGCTTTAGGTTGTTTCATCCAAGGTTGTTCTTATTATTTTAGATAAGGATAGGCAATTTGTGGCTCCAGCACTACAACGGTTCTCTAAGTGCTTGTTTGTTGCTCTCTGTTCCTCTGCTGCTGGACATTTGGAGAAGAGAAACATGCACAAACAGTTCTGCATTAAAATAAACAAGATGACTTTAAAAAACAAAGGATCTCAAACGTTCACACAAAAATTAAGGAGAAGAGGAGAATTGTAGTTCCATCCAAATGAATGATATATTCCCACCCTCTTTCCTTCATTGTTTTAGAATGATGTGAAGCCTCCAACTACCCAAAATTGCTTACCCTAAGTCTAACTGTCATAAGATCACTTTCTTATGAATTAAATTGTCATACTGGGCTTGGAAATGAAGAGAAATGCAGTTTCATAATGAAACCCTAGCACACTCATTTGTAACTTATCTTCCAGTTATATTAGTGTGTAACTTCAGAATTCCCAGTTAGCTTTGGTGACACTTCTCTGGGAATTCCAGTAATAATAGTTAAACACATCTAAAGAACAAAAGCTTTGGAAAAGCTGCCATTGAATAGTCTAACATTAAACCAGAGACACATTATATTTCCCATTCTTGGTTTTTATTATTTTGACTTTTGCCTGCAGTCCTGGTTTATATTGGATCAGTAAAACTTGAAAATATAAATTATGTCAATTTATATACGTTCTCCATTTCAGGCTGTCATGGCCAGTGATTTTTCAGTATCTCAGTTTAAACACCTCAAGAAGTTACTTCTAGTCCATGGACACTGGTGCTATTCTCGCTTGGGAAAGATGGTGCTATACTTTTTCTATAAAAATGTGGTAAGTGTTTTAATTTTTTATTTCATCCTGCATGGCATCCATTATTGCTTGTAACAATTGGGACAAGTATTGTTTATAGGTTATTTGACTTTAGCCCTGTGCCAACAGTTTACAAGTTCCAAAAAAATATAATAAGGAAACATTCCATAAAGTTCCATAAACATTCCATACAAATATTTTGATTAAATGGATTTATTCATAAATGGATTCATTTTTACTTAGCTTCTATAAAATAGGTTTCATTATCTAATTTCCTATTTAAAATGTTATCCGGACAATCCTTAACAGAATCATGTCTCTACTGCTGTACATAAAATGGCTGATTGTAATCAGGCCAAGTAGAAGTTGGTCTTGACTTGGACTCTACAGGCTGACAATGACCTAATTTTACGGGAAACCTATGCTACCAATAGATGACCATACTAGTCAACTTTAGCCACATTGTAGAAAATTCAATTGGGCATCTATATTCTCAGGGTAGACATTTCAATCATGCAATTAACATGCATCTCTTGGGAACTGGAGCCATTACCGTGTTTCCCCAAAAATAAGACATCCCCTGATAATAAGCCCAATCGGGCTTTTGAGTGCATGCTCTCAAATAAGCCCTCCCCCAAAAATAAGCCCTCCCTGAAAATATTTAAACGCATGCGCAGCCAGTCCCCACCATTTCCTCTGGTTAGGGTTAGGGTTAGGGAGACAGTGCTGGAAATCAGGTAAGACGATAAGAGGAGCCCCATCTTGCTCCACGCGCCCCAAAATAAGACCTCCCCAAAAATAAGGGCAAGCGCTTATTTCGGGGTTCAAAAAAATATAAGACAGGTCTAATTTTCGGGGAAACATGGTGGCACCTCCAAAAGGGGACGGGGCATAAAAAAAACACAAGATGATAGCATAATCACACAAGATGCTGCCACATCATGGCAACATAATCAAAGGAAGAGTTCCTTTATATGTCTATTGCAATGTATCTATATACATGCGCGCGCAAGCAAAGCGAGCGCGCAAGCGCAGCCCCATTGCGAACTGGTAGTAAAGGTAAGTACAACCCATCCCTGGGTCTAACGCTGGAAAATGTATGATTCCCATTACAAAAGAATGATGGATTCCCTTACCTACATTGCTATAAATAAAAGAGCTAAGGGTTTCCCCTGTCCAGTCATGTCCAACTCTAGAGGGCCAGTGTTCATATCCGTTTTCTAGTCAAGGGAGCCAGCATTGTCTGAAGATGCTTCATTTGGTCATTTGGCAAACATGACTATACACCAAGACCAGAGGTGGTTTTCAAAAAATTTTACTACCAGTTCTGTGGGTGTGGCTTGGTGGGCATGGTATGGCTTGGTGGGCGTGGCTTGGTGGGCATGGCAGGGGAAGGATACTGTAAAATCTCCATTCCCATCCCACTCCGGGGAAAGGCTACTGCAAAATCCCCATTTCCTCCCAATCAGCTCGGACTTGGGAGGCAGAGAATAGATGGGGGTGGGGCCAGTCAGAGGTGGTATTTACCAGTTCTCCGAACTACTCAAAATTTCCGCTACCGATTCTCTAGAACTGGTCAGAACCTGCCGAAATCCACCTCTGACCAAGACACACAGAACGCTGTTACCTTCCCATCAAAGTGGTGCCTATTTATCCACTTGCATGTATATAGACATTTAACTCCCATTATTTGATTGAACTTTTTCTACTTTGCCTATTTCTGATGAATTTCATTATATCAAATGTTGTTTATGTTTTGTTTTTCTGACTTATTACCATCAAGGTCCATAACATTGTTTGATATAAAAGCAGCTAGAAAATAGTAGAAAACGGTAGGAGTGAATTTTCTGCCAATTATTTAATTTTAGTATTTCACTTTTTTGTACAAAAATAAATAAATAGAAGTGACATTTTATGAATATGTTACCTTTACAGCATACAAAGTTGATGTTTGATTCTGAGTGACAATCACATAGCTGCAAGAAATACAAAAGCTATTTATATTCATGAAAGCAAGCTCTGACTGTGAATCTCAAGTAGATGACTACAATCCATTTACATACACCCAAGGCTAACTATATATTTCATGCAAATGTTTGTCACTAAGACCTAATAATGGACTGAGTCGAGTCTTATTCGTGCTTAAAGTAGATTTACTAAAAACGAGTAGATATATTCTAGTCATAATTAAGTTCTGATTATTTCAGTGGGTCTGTTACTACTCTTAGCAATAGCAATTAGACTTATATACTGCTCTGTAATGCTTTACTGCACTCTCTGAGTGATTTTTCAAATGTCAGCATATTGCCCCCCAACTATCTGGGTTCTCATTTTACCAACCTCGGAAGGCTGAGTCAACCTTAAGCCAGTAAGAATCGAACTGCCAGCAATGTGTAGAGTTAGCCTGCAATGTTCCATTCTAAGCGTTGTGCCACCATGGCTCCTTAACTTAAATTTGACAAATTTATATTTAGATGAAAAGCAGCCTGAAATGAAATAGTTTAAAAGTAGGGAAGTAACCAAGAAAACAGTTCTCAATCCTTTTGTACGACTACTGTTTTCCTAATCATATCACATCATGGGTTTCAAAAATTAACTCGGGTACATTTAAAAACTTGAGAAAGGAAACACAAACAAAAAGCAAATTAGCATGGGTTAATAGCAGGTAGAGAAAAATATAAATAGGCTTATCTCCTTATCCCAATAGTTAGTTTAACTTTCTCACTCCCAGCGCTTTAAAAAAGAAACAGAGTTCAGTTGTACATGGTGGTAATGTAACTTTAGCCAGTCTCTCAATTTAATCAAAAAACTAATTAAAATCAAATAGCATATTAAATTTATTTGGACTAGTGGTGGGTTGCTACTGGTTTGCCCCAGTTCGGGCGAACAGGTAGCAGCGGTGGCTCATGGCTCTGCCCACCCACCCACCCAGACATCATCAAAAACGCCCCGCGCCTCCGCAGAACCTTCTGCGCGTGCACAGAGGCGTTACATGCTTGCAAAGCAAGTGTACACACGAGCTCCTGATAGCGAACCAGTAGTGCCGGGATTTGAAACCCACTACTGATTTAGACTAATGTTGCGAGTCCTTGATCATATTCTAAAAGTTTATCATGCTCTGCAGGGACTAGATATTATGACTGACCAAACACCCTTGGATAGCAAAGGCTAGATGATGTTTCTACAAATATTTAAAACATTTATTTTTTTCATATGTTCTCACCAGACCTATGTCAACCTCCTCTTCTGGTACCAGTTCTTCTGTGCTTTCTCTGGGGCTTCTATGATAGACTACTGGCAAATGATATTTTTCAACTTGTTTTTTACATCTGTACCACCATTAATTTCCGGAATTCTGGATAAAGACATTTCTGCAGAAACCCTATTGAACATTCCTGCGCTTTATAAAAGTGGACAAAATTCAGAGGTAACACTTTTTCAAGAATGTCCCAATAATGTAACAGGTTTTACGGTATAGCAAGATAAATATCCTTTCTAAAGTAGATGTTGGTTGGGTTCGAACACTGCATTAAGCCATGATTTGTTGAATATGGTCAATTTTCAGCTCAGCAATTCCCTCATTAAACAACTGTATTCCATTGGTTAAAAAGCACCTTTTTAAAACATTTTTCCCATGAATGGATGAAAAAAATAGGTTAAAGAAAACAATTTTTATAGAGGAGCCTTCAGTGCTTTCTTGTATCATTTTTCATTGATCCAAGCTATTGTGCGAAGTCTGATCTTGCACTAAGAGAAGAAATGCAACTCATTACACTTTTAAATACATCGATTCTCATTGGATCAAAAAATTCCAAAGCATAAAATAGCCACAGATACAGGCTGCTACAATAAGTACAATAAAATGTGTTAACAAGTTAAGGTGCTGGTTCAATAATTGTTAGGGTAGTTATGACTAAAATAGGGAAATCCAGGAGACAAGTGGGAAAATCTGTGTCTTTTAACTGATAGCAAAAAAACTCCAAACCAAGAACCCACATACGTTCACAGAGAATATTATCTCACACTAAAAAAGCCACAATCCTTTATGAAGAATGTAAGCAAGCTACAGTATGGTCATGAGGACATTATTCCCTGGCTCTAAAAACCAGGTAAAGATCTATGGAAAATGATTGTTCATATAACTTGGCTTTCTGCTTGTCAATCATAATGAAATCTGGAAAGTAGTAACTAAACAGCAGACAATGCAGGCCCTATAATACTAACATTAATTGAAAGGACCCTAGTAACGTAGTTCCTCATTCTAATCTAAGTGTGGTTTATGAATCACCCTCAAGAGCAGAAACATGTTTATTTTATTTATTTATTTATTTATTTTGTATTTTTCATCAAGCATGTATTTTATGACAGATACAAGTGTAAAAATAATTATAAATACATGAAAAGGATACAAATAAAAGAAAACATTAGGACAGGGATGGTAGGCACGCTGGTGCGCTTAAGCACGCCCCTTACAGACCTCTTAGGAATGGGGTGAAGTCTACAATAGACAGATGTTACAAAAGTCCAGTCTCCAGATAAAATACATTACAATATTCCAGTGCTGGGACAGGTCTGGCTAATCCCTACCTTGAAAATGTTACACTTATCATTGTAACCAAAACTGTAATGTGTTATGATATTTAAAGTGTTAGAGTAGATCCAAACTAGACCCAGAGAGGCCCAACTTGAAGTAATCCATTCTTACCTTATAGGTCCATCCTGTATTACAAGGTGGCTGATCTGGAGATAAAAGGCAGAGAGATCTCCATAGAAGCCCCTTGAGCTCTGTGGAAAAGGTATACAACAATTTAACCAAAAAAATAATTACATTGGAAATACATATTCTTGCCCACAGAGACTTGTTTGAACTTCTTATGATAGAGACAAGTTCATCAATAATCCAAGCTCCATACCTTCTTCTTCCATGTAACCCCCAGTGCTATTCTGTTTGGATAAAGATATAAAAATAAATAGAATTATCAGTAACAATTTAAATAAATTTTTTTCAGGCATACCACATCTCCACTGATTTTGGTTTTGAAGGCAATGACAGAGAATGAAAGTGATGCAAATTCTGTCATTTACCACTGATTGGTGGCTTCCCCAGTGGCCATCGAGTTATAAGTGATATATCAAGAAAATGTACTTCTTCTTTTTGTGCCATATCCATCATCGGACATTGGCGATCATGTTGGCAATCCTATTTTTGTCAACAGCCGTATGAAAAAGTGCTGCTAAGTTTTGTCCAAACCAGTCCCTTAGGTTTTGAAACCATGATTTTCTTCTTCTGCCTAGACCTCATTTGCCTTCAATCATTCCTTGGAGGATTAAGTGAAGGATGCCGTATTTTTCTGGGTGTTACATCACATGTTCAAAATATTCTAACTTTTGCTTTTTAATGGCTTTTAGAAAATGTATATGTTTTGAAAAAATTCTATTCCTTCTGTGTCCTGTTTGCTACAGATTTACAAAACTCTAACGTTTTGCCTTGCTATCTTGGATGCCTTTTACCAGAGTCTCATTTGCTTCTTCATCCCTTATCTAGTAAGTGTTCAAATCTCAAACTATTCAACTTTCTCTAAACCAGCCTTTCCCAGCCTGTTGCTTTTCAGCTCATATTTGAAGCATATCAGACTTGAGAAGGCTGGTTCATAAAACTCAACATTTCTGTTTTGTATTTTAATATGTCAATATTCTTTTATCTAATTTTTCAGGTTTACCAGGATTCTGATACTGATGTTTTTGCTTTTGGAACAGTAGTTAACACTGGTGCCCTTCTTACTATTCTTTTTCACCAAGCTTTAGAAATTCAGATGTGGGTATGTATATAGTTTCAATAACTATCCCAGTTTGCTTGCTTGCTTGCTTGCTTGCTTGCTTGCTTGCTTGCTTGCTTGCTTGCTTGCTTGCTTGCTTGCAGATGGATGGATGGATGGATGGATGGATGGATGGATGGATGGATGGATGGACGGAAACAATGACCTGGCTGTTACCGTGACAGTCATTAGCTTTTTGATTCTACATTTGAGTGTCTGGGTATGAGTCCCTTCCAACTTGGATTTCAAAGGATTTATTGAGTGATGAAAAAGTACTGAAATGCCAACATTTGCAGATAGTGTAATACACAGATTCAGAAACAGTATAACTGTGAGTTATCTTGGAGCCCTAGTGGACAATCGCTTAAATATGAGCTAACAGTGTGTAGCAGCCACCAAAAAATACCAATGCAATCCTAGGCTGCAGTAATAGAGGGATAGAATCAAGATCACATGAAGTTCTAGTATCGCTTTATAAAGCCTTAGTAAGACCATACTTGAAATACCACATCTAGTTCTGGTCACCACAATATAATAAAGATGTTGAGACTCTGGAAAGATTACAGAGAAGAGCAACAAAGATGATTAGGTGGCTGGAGGCTAAAACATACAAAGAATGGCTAGAGGAATTGGGTATGTCTAGTCTAATGAATAGAAGTACTAGGGGAGATGTGATAGCAGTGTTCTAATATTTGAAGGGGTCTTACATTAATGAGGGGGTCAAACTATTTTCCAAAATAGTTTGCCTCCCACCGGCCAGTACGCTCTCATAGAGAGGGACTCGTCCGGGTGCCATCAGCCAAACAATGTCGACTGGCGGCCCCCAGGGGGAGAGCCTTCTCTGTGGGGGCACCTACTATCTGGAATGAGCTCCCCCCAGAGATACAGAGGATCCCAGATCTGCGCATCTTCCGTCGCGCTTTCAAGATGTTTTTTATTCCATCAAGCCGGCCTGGCCTAAATCTTTCCCCTTTAAAATGTAAATTTTAATTTGTTTTTTAAATTATTGGGTGTTTTAAATTTGTCTCGGCCAAAATTGTTTAATTCGGTTTTATTCTGTTTTTAAATTTTGTATTTATGTGTTTTATTTTGTGGCTGTTCACCGCCCTGAGTCCTTCGGGAGTAGGGTGGTATACAAATCCAATAAATGAAATGAAATGAAATGAAAACACCAAAAGGCAAGACAAGAAACAATAGATGGAAATGAATCAAGAAGAGAAGCAACTAGAACTAAGGATAAATTTCCTAAAGGTGAAAGCAATCAACCAATGGAACAGCTTGCCTTCAGAAGTTGTGGGTACTCCATCACTGGAGGCTTTCAAAAGAGATTGGCCAACCATTTGTATGAAATGGTATAGGGTCTATTGCTCAAGCAGGGGGTTGGTTCCTTCCAACTCTATTACTCTATGTTCTACGTTCCAAATTAAATAATTCTAGGCAATCACAATTTAATTTATACCATTTGAATTAATTGTTTATTTTATATATTTATTTTATTTTATTTTGAATTTGTATACCGCCCTTCTCCCTGAGGACTCAGGGCGGTGAACAGCCAAGTAAAAACATCAAATACAAATATTAAAATACAGTTAAAATATACATATATAAATTTGGCCCCATTGATTAAAAACAATAAACAAAACACTTAAAAACACTTAAAAAAATTAGGCCAGCCCGGCTTGCTGGAAAAGGAAGGTTTTAAGGGCACGGCGGAAGGCACCGAGGTCTTGGATTCTCCTTATCTCTGGAGGCAATTGATTCCAGAGGGTAGGTGCCCCCACAGAGAAGGCCCTTCCCCTGGGGGTCACCAGCCTGCACTGTTTGGCTGATGGCACCCCAAGGAGGCCCTCTCTGTGGGAGCGCACGGGTCGATGGGAGGTCGTCGGTGGCAGCAGGCGGTCTCGAAGATAGCTAGGCCCTATGCCATGGAGCGCTTTAAAGGTGATAACCAACACCTTGAAGCGCACCCGGAAGACCACTGGGAGCCAGTGCAGCTCGCGCAGGAGCGGTGTTACATGGGAGCGCCAGGCTGCTCCCGTCACTACCCGCGCTGCTGCATTCTGGACCAGTTGGAGCCTCCGGGTGCTCCTCAAGGGGAGCCCCATGTAGAGAGCGTTGCAGTAGTCAAGGCGAGAGGTGACGAGGGCATGAGTGACTGTGCACAGGGAATCCCGATCAAGAAAGGGCCGCAACTGGCGGATCAGGCGTACCTGACAAAAGGTCCCCCTGGTTACAGCCGTCAGATGTTCCTCCAAGGACAGCTGCCTATTCAGGAGGACTCCCAGATTGCGAGCCCTCTCTGTGGGGGCCAACGACTCGCCCCCAATAGTCAGTGATGGAGTCAACTGACTATATCGGGATGCCGGGAGCCACAGCCACTCAGTCTTGGAAGGGTTGAGCCTGAGCCTGTTCCTCCCCATCCAGATCCGCACAGCCTCCAGGCACTGGGACATCACTTCAAGGGCATCGTTGGGGTGGCCTGGGGTGGAGATGTACAGCTGGGTGTCATCAGCGTACTGGTGGTATCTCACCCCAAAGCCACGGATGATCTCGCGCAGCGGCTTCACATAAATGTTGAACAGGAGGGGCGAGAGGACCGACCCCTGAGGCACTCCACATATAAGAGGCCTTGAGGTCGACCTCTGCCCCCCTGCCAACACGAACTGCGACCGGTCGGAGAGAAAGGAGGAGAACCACCGTAATACGGTGCCCCCCATCCCCAACTCTTCCAACCGGTGCAGCATGATACCATGGTCGATGGTATCAAAAGCCGCTGAGAGGTCTAACAGGACCAGAACAGAGGAACAACCCCTGTCCCGAGCCCTCCAGAGATCATCAACCAACGCGACCAATGCCGTTTCCGTGCTGTGTCCAGGCCTGAAACCCGACTGGAACGGATCCAGATAGGATGTTTCCTCCAAGAATTGTGGAAACTGTCGCGCGACCACACTCTCAACAACCTTCGCCAGGAAGCGAAGGTTGGAGACAGGACGATAGTTGGCCAATATTGCCGGATCCAGGGACGGCTTCTTGAGGAGAGGCCTCACCACCGCTTCTTTCAAGGCGGCGGGGAAGTGACCCTCACTCAACGAAGCGTTGATAACACCCTGGAGCCAGCCTCGTGTAACCTCCCGGGAGGCCAGTACCAACCAGGAGGGACACGGGTCCAGTAAACATGTGGCCGCACTAAGTCTCCCCAAAATCCTGTCCACATCATCCGGAGTCACAGCATCAAACTCCTCCCAGGTAACATTCTCAAGACTATTCCTCGTCACCCTGCCCTGATCTACCCAGTCAGAGTCCAAATCCCCCCGGATCTGAGCGATTTTGTCATACAGGTATTGTCTGAAATCCTCCGCCCTGCCTTCCAAGGGATCCTCCCGCGCTCCCGGATGGAGCAGGGAGCGGGTTACCCTGAACAGGGCGGCCGGACGATTCCCTGATGACGCAATAGAGGCGGAAAAGTAGTTAAACTTTGCCATCTTTATCGCCACTAGGTAGGTCTTAATATGCGACCTTACCAGTGTTCGGTCAGATTCAGCGAGACTGGCCCTCCAACCGCTCTCTAGGCGTCTTTTCCGGCGTTTCATCTCCCTCAGCTCCTCGGTGAACCAAGGAGCCGCGAGGGATCGACACCGGGTCAGATTGCTTTTGACCAATGTTCATACTACTTATTATACCTTCATACCTTTTCAAGATTTCTCTGCATAAAAGTATTATTTCCCTCATTTCTATCAGAAATATTTATGTATTTCAGTAAAATTTTACATAATTAAAAATAGTATTGCTCATTGCAGTTAGACAAGATTGCAGATAATGGAAGAGAGTTAAAGTTCTAGTCCCGGTTTAGGCACAAAGCTTGCTGAGTGATCTTGGGCCTGTCACTCTCAGCTTTAGCAAAGCCACTTTTTAAAATTCTTTCCAAGTAAACTGCAGAGACTAAACCAGGTAACACTGACTCAAAGGTATAGACCTACAAAAACGCAATAAATGGACACCGTAGCTTGGAAACCAATATTCACACAGAGCCAACTAAAAAGCATGACTTCTCATATGCAACAGAAAAGATACTGCTCTTTCCCACCAGGCCAGCACTTGTCTTGGAAAGACATGACAAAAAGCATCAGAGTTAATTCCAAAATTTGACATTCTGCAATGCAGATTCATCATTGCTGCAATTTTTATATTCAGATACCTTTTGTTTGCATAGAAATTGCACTGCCTCAGTATAAGATTGTTACTATGGCATTTGCTCTTTATATTCTCCTGGTGTTCTGCACCATCACATTCCTGGACAGGAATCACAGCTAAAAGGTTTATTTCTCTAATTGCTTTTCTTTTCTTCTGTTCACAGACCCTGTTCCATGGGATTGCAATAATTGGGAGCATTTTGCTGTACTTCGTTTTCTCATCCATCTACAATGCAACCTGTGTCCTTTGTAACCATCCCACAAATCCCTACTGGATTATGGAGATGGAATTTTCAGAGCCAAGCTTTTATTTTACAATCATTATGATGCCAGTCGTAGCACTTCTCCCAAGGTTTGACCAATGTTTTTTTCTTACTTGTTCTTGTATGAGGTGCCACTCAATAACTAGATTACCAGACTGAGGATTACAAAATTTGATTAAATGTTGTTCCAGGAAACAGAAAGCCTTATCTCTACAGTATGGTATTATTTAAGCAAGGTCTTAATCAGATGTTGCAGATAAGACAACCGGTACCATGTAAAGTCTGATTTCCAGAGAAACGTTCCAGCAGATGTATCCTTACTAGTCTGGTTTTTTTCTCCATTCTCCACAAAAACCTGCCAGCCAAGAGCCAGTTCTTTGGTATAGCTGTCATTTTATGGACAGGAAGCTTAAAAACCCTTGACAGCCCACACCCTTTAATGCAGTACAACTTTCTCTGTACAGTTTGGGGAAATTGAGTTGACATGCCTTGCTAAAACATAAAAGCTTTGTTGTGTTGTGTGATGCCTTCCTTTTTTCTCTCTCTCTTTTGAGAGGCAACCCTTGAGTACTTCAAAGAAAAAAATATGTTTCCATGTTACAGCTAGTGTCACAGCTCAGACTTCTCCAGCTGTCATATGATCCTTAGAAATAGCACAAAGATCAACTATCTGCTTCTCCCTCTTAACACCCAAGGTCTAAGGGTTATGAAAAGAATTCCCTCTGGAAGCTTTATTCTTCATGAGTCCCGCTTTAATCTCTTACTACAAAACACACATTGATTTGAGGGCAGAACATTTTACCATTGCATTCCTATGAATTTTCTGTAAAATGAGAAAGTTTTTTTTTGCTTATTGTAAAACTAATATTCAGAGTGAGGTGGCCCAGAGAGTAGCTGCAATAACAGAAGGAAGCTTGAACGAATGCATCCAAATGTATTTATAAATGTTGGTTTTTAGTATTAACGCAAGCAAGCCTGGATAAACTTCAGAGTTGTTCACTTTTTTCTTCTTCTTTTCTGATATAACTGTAAGAAGAGCAGAAGTTTCCCCTTCTTTTCATAACAGATCACCGATATCCAAATCCAGACAAAAGTATGGATAATACTATCCGAAATAAGAAAACTTCAAAATGTCGTTTATGAAGCTGCCCTATTTCAAAACAACAGAATAGGCCTCATGTACATATGACTCTCCAAGACATTTGGGGCAACTGAAAATTTCTCATCTTGCTATTGCTGTTGATTTACTGCTATTCTGTCACTGCACTTGCGGCAACATTTCCCATGAGTCCCTGCATTTGTCACCTTCCAGCTGTTACCACTAATGTTGTATAGAATGTAGGCTGCCATTACTGCTTCTTCTGCAGCTTCTTCATGCCAGAACCAAGAGGAACCTTCTGCACATCTGTGTATTTGGAATCAGTTGCATTTTTTTAATTATTTATTTATATGCCGCCCTTCTCCGGAGACTCAGGGCAGTTTACAATGCATTAAGCAATAGCCTTCATACTTTTGTATATTTTTACAAAGTCAGTTTATTGCCCCCACAAACTGGGTCCTCATTTGGTTTGCTATCATGCAGAGAGAAATGGGGATTTTAAAAAATCCCCAACTCAAGATCTCTTGAGTTGAGCCATAAAAAGAAGTGAGGACGGACTAATCAAGGGCAGAAAGGACAGAAGAGTGATGGTGGACTTGGTAGAAGCTGTGACGGTTGAACATACCCTTCCCTGCAATCTCAACCACACTAAGATTGCTGGAATGGGAAAACCATGATATCTGTTTATATCAGACAGCTATAGAGAAATATACTTATCATGGGCTATGATACACAGACTAGCATTACTAAACCATTTTTTTCCTGAAACATAGCAGCTGGCCCTAACACAATTGAATGGCAGTTTGTAGCTGTCCGTAATCACCAAACAAAACCCTAGCCTAGGAACTGGCAAGCTGATATATTCTATACATTCTGGATTGTATTTCCAAATTATCTTGGTATGTCTGAACTGATGTGAGTTATGCCTTATTTGTTCAGATAGTACCAAGTTACCTATGCATGGCACCACTGGCATGGCAGGTAGATGGAAACTACCTTTTTTTTTAATTAAAAAATTTATAAATTTTATTAAAACACAAATTTGACATTTACACAACATACAACATATAAATAGCTTATCCATTTTAAGCGTTGTTTCATAGTGGTCTTCCATCTGATATTTTATACTTCTTCCCCTATTTCTTAGTCTAATACTCCTTCTTTTTCCCCTCCTCCTCCTTTTCTTCTCTTCTCTTTTTTCCCCCTCTTTCCCCCTATAAAGATCTATATATTTTGATTATATCTTTACTGTTTTACATTTCTACATTCATATTATATACATAATTATACCACTCAATACATATATATATATATTGTATTTCTGTTCTTTTCTCCTTGTATTTATTTTTCTTTATTGATAGTATTAAGCCAATTATACCATTTATTCCATATTCTGTAGTAGTCTGTCTCTTCTTTTTCTTTAATTTCTTTTGTTAATCTGTCCATCTCAGCGCATTCTAAGATCTTATCTATTAGTTCTTCTTCAGTTGGGATTTTTTTTTTCCAATTTTTTGCATATGTTATTCGTGCTGCTATTAAGATATGTAGCATCAAATATTTTATTTCTTTGGGATATGGATTTGTAAAGATTCCTAACAGGAATGTTTCTATTTGCTGTTTTGTTATTTGTTCTATCCATTTCTTAATGTTCTACCAAAATTTTTTTGCTGCCGGGCACGTCCACCATAGATGATAATAAGTTCCTTGCAATTTCTTACATTTCCAACATGTTGCACTATTGTTCGGGTGTATTTTTGCCAGCCTTGTCGGTGACAGATGCCATCTGTAGAACATCTTCAACTGATTCTCCTTGTATGCCACCGCTAGTGTTAATTTTGCATTCACTTGCCATAATGTTTCCCACTTCTCCAAATCTATTGTGTACTTAAAATTTTGCGCCCATTTGATCATTGTATCCTTCACTGTTTCCTCCTCCATTTTATATTGTAATAAAAATTTATAAGTTTTGCTAATTAGTTTCTCTTCTGATTCTAATATGATTTTATCTATTCTTGTTTCTCTCTATGGATTTCGTATGCTTTTATATGTTCCTTGTGTTTAGATTGAATTTGTGTGTAAGTCCACCAGTCGATTTCTCTATTTAGGTCTGTTTCCAATTGTTGTTTTGATTTCAATTTTCTTGTTGTTCAATTAAGTCTTTGTATCTTATTACTTTTTAAAGTTCTCTTAGATTTGGATGTCTTACTGCTTCTAGTGGTGAAAGCCAGATCGGTATTTTCGTGTAATGCTGTTTTTTAATTTTTAACCAAATTTGTAATAGTGCATTCCTTATTGTGTGTCTTTTGAAATAGGTATGTGTTTTGTGTCTCTCATCCCAGAGGAATGAATGCCAACCCACTTGTATTTCATATCCTTCAATTGTTAATATTCTATTATTTTTTAATTCCATCCATTCTTGTACCCAGGATAACACAGCCGCTTGATAGTAAATTTCCCGTTCAGGGAGTGCTGTTCCTCCTCTATCTTTTGTATCTTGTAGTAGTTTAAGTTTAATTTGTGGACGCTTATAAATTTGGATGTTATTTTATTGAGTGTTTCAAAAAAGTTTTTTTCTAATTTTATTGATATGACCCAAAATAGAAATAAGAGTTTTGGTATATTCATTTTAATGGTGGAAATTCTTCCCATTAGTTATATCTGTAAGTTTCTCCAATTATCTAAAACTACCTTTTTGACCCATCTTTTGTGACACTAACTTTTGTAAAATTATTGTTCCCTTTTTGTACCTTTGTGTGTGCTTTGCAAAAAGTGCCTTTGGAACCCATACTGTATGTGTAGTATTTTAGAACTGTTCTCTGTAGAAAGTGGAATCTTTATATGAATGACTAACTAAAAACATAATTCACGTTATACTTCATCTACCACCTATAAAATGAGTGAGAGTGATAGCTTATTATTGGAAAAATAACTGTGGTTTTCTTTGCTTTCCCTAGATATCTTATATTGGCTTTGCAAGGGACTTTCAAGATATCTTGCATCCTGAAAGCACAACAGCTAGAGAAGTTGCCAAAAGAACAACAGGACTGGGAAATACAGAAATGGAAGCTGATAAAAGAAGGCCCAGCAATCCACAGTAATGACCCTAGTCAACTCAGTGGAAATATTTGTGATCATGCAGCATTTGGGCTTCCTGAGACCAATGTTCTTCAGGGCCTTGGGCCTCTGCAGAAAGAAATGCTTGAAGAAAAGACTTTGAATGAGGAAGCCAAGGATGATACCAAAAGATGCATCCAGGAAGAGACTGGACAATTTACAGCTGTGGAGCTATTTACTGGCCAAATCCCCCAGAACACTGGAAGTTCTGCTGAGCGAAGCCATCGGAGGTCTGTGAGTGCAGTGACTTTGTGAAGGAGGCACGGCTTTCGAAGGGGAAAAGTAAAAACAGACTCACTCTCCATGAATAAAGGGAATAGAAGGAAAAATATAATTCCTTTTTTATGTTACATAGCAGCAATGTCCAGATGGGAGACCTAAAATAAAACTTCATCAGTATACCGAGAAACTGTGTTTTGACTGTACAGTGCAAGACATCTTGGATGCATATGACTATATATTTCTTGTGGGGGGAAAGGGTTCAAATCAGGGGTGAAATGCTCCCGGTCGATCCCGTAGCGATGGCAGCTGGTGGTTCGGAGCACCAGTAGCAAAAATCCCTGCATGCCCCCCCCCCACCATGCCCAGCTGAGCTGCATGATCATCAGAGGCTTTTTTTTTTTACTTTTAAAAGCATTTTTTCTACAACCTCTTCCGACGGAAAAATGCTTTTAAAAGTAAAAAAAAAAAAAAAAAGCAGCTCAGCTGGGATCATCAAAGGCTTTTCAAAGCATTTTTTTCTGCAACCTTTTGCCGAAGAGGTGGTTAAAAAAATGCTTTGAAAAGTCTTGGCAACTCCCAGCTGAGGTCCTGACTGGCAGAGAGCCATTTTTAAAAGAGCCTCTCTGACATCCCAGCTGAGTTCCCTGATCGGCAGAGCGGCTTTTCAAAGCATTAGAAAAAATGCTTTGAAAAGTTTTTTTTAAAAAAAGTTGGCCACGCCCATCCAGTCACATTACCCCCACCACTGGTAGTACCGGTAGTAACAGATTTAACACAACCGGTAGAACCGGTAGTAACAGATTTTACATTTCACCCCTGGTTTTGTTTTTGTTTTTTTTTTGTTTTGTTTTGTTTTTATTAGATTTATATACCGCCCTACTCCTGAAGGACTCGGGGCAGTGATGGTTCAAATAGCTTGGAGGACAATTGCACAAGATTTCCTTTGTGGGGACTTGAAAATAGACAATATTTGTGGGGAAGGGCTGTTTCTTTTTACAATGAAATTTCAGAATCATGCCACATTTCTGCCTTACTGATGAACAGGAGTTAAAACTGCAACATCTTAAGAGTAAAATTATCATGTTTAAAGGTATAAATAAATAAGCCATTAATCTAGATATTTTAAGTGGGAATCCAAAACTATTTTGTGGGAAGGGTGTGTGTGTAAAGAAATCTGAAATATTTATTTATTTTATTTATTTTTATTCAATTTGTATCCCGCCCTTCTCCTAGTGGACTTAGGGCGGTGCACAGTCAGAACTAAAACACATACCAATACAAAATTTAAAATTTTTAAAAGAATTATATGACTTTGGCCCAAAATTTAAAACATTCAAACTAAAACCCATTGACAATTTAAAAGGCTAAAAAATATACTGTATATACATAGTTATTTATTATTTATTTATTTTGTCACATTTCTATGCCGCCCAACTCCCAAGGGACCCTGGGTGGCTTACAACAAAGAATAAAACAATGCGAACAATCCCATTAAAAAATGGGATATATGTAATATATGTTGCATATATGTATATGTGAAAGACTGCACATGCCAAGTTGTTCTTCATTGGTCAGACAATTGTTTAGTTCTTTTAGGTAACTAGCAACCTAGTGACCTAATTCCATACTCTCTGGAATCAGCTGCCCCCAGAGATAAGGAGAATCCAAGACCTCGGTGCCTTCCACCGTGCCCTTAAAACCTTCTTTTTCCAGTAAGCTGGGCTGGCCTAACACTTTTTAAAATGTTTTTAATTGTCTGTTATTATTTTTAATCATGGGGCCAAATTTATATATATATCTTTTTAATTGTATTTTAATGTTTGTAGTTTATGTTTTTACTTGGCTGTTCACCACCCTGAGTCCTTAGGGAGAAGGGCGGTATACAAATTTAAAAATAAATAAATAAATAAATAAATATTTGGAAGTAATGATTTCTGAGGAATTATCATCCAAGATAAATATTTTAAGAGCTTTACCTCTTCTTTGAATGGGATGCCGAGGAAGGAAGATGGACCGTCAATCAGGTGTCTAGGAAGCAAAGAGAATTCCTATGATGAGAGACTGAAGGAAGGAACCAAGCCGTTTCAGCCTTGAAAAGACTGAAAGGGGCATAATTGTATTGTTTGAATAGCTAAAAGAACCCACCAAAGCAGGGGAGGGTTTCAAAACCTTTCACTACCGGTTCGCTCGGTCATGTGCGCATGCACCGCTTCTGCGCATGCACAGAAGCGTCCAGGCGGGTGGGTGGCGTCTCCCGCCATCATTACAAGTTCACCCAAACCGGGGCAAACTGGTAGCAACCCACCATGCACCAAAGGAAGTCCAGACCTGTTCTCTATCACCTGGAATTATGAATTTAAGATGTGAGAAGGCAATTTTGGTTGAATGTTACAGGAAAAAAGAATTCCTAACAGTAAGAGCTTTTCAATGGGGGGAGGGAAAGAGGAGATACATCTTTACTCTAAACGTGTCAAAGCAGGATATGCTTTCATTTCCCACACTGAATAAAGGTTAGGTTACATATTCCGAATAACCCTATTGTCTGGATTCATAAGAATGACAGCTGACTTCTCAGACTGGGAATACTCATACTGTCATCCCAAGCAGAATCAGTACCAGAGGCATGACTTCTGTCACACGCAAGCCTCTTCTTCTCTTTCTTAAGAAAAAGCCTGCTTTTTAAAAATAATAATAATAACAACAGGAAAACAGAGAAAGCTGTTGCAAGACTTCTGATAAAAGGTTGGAATTTCTAGGCTGGAGAAGATCCAGATGAAAACAGAGCACTTTGTTTTGGGATTCTGAATACCCCTAAGCCAAAAAGAAAACATTTAAGCAAAAGATGTATTAATTATTAATTTATTCTGTCTGTGTCTGTCTAAGTTGAATATTATTTATATCTCTACCCAAGTTCACAAATTCAGCATATAGCGGGTTTTGTTAAGATCAATTTTTTCCCCTGATGAGAAATTCGCTGAGCTTGATAAAAACTCAGAGCCTGGTGAGTTTATAATATAGTAATACCATTGCTGTAATTCCCTTTTAAAGTTATTGCTGTCCAATAATTTGAGAATTTGTGACTTTACCTCTTTCAAAATGTTAACATTTTAATATCTAACGTTTAAAAAGAAATTACAGTTATTATCATTTTTTTAAAATAAACTTTGCTTTTTGTTTATCTCTGGTACTGTATGTCTCCCAAGAAAGGGCTGAAACATCGTTCATATACCTCAGTATTATGTAACCAGCAGGCAACACTACAGCACTTATTTGCCTTTTTATTTGCCAGAAAAGCTGCAAAATATGGGAACCCTTTTTTTCTTCACACAAAAGGTTGAAAGGAGCATCCCAGGGGAGGTGCCCCCTTGAAAGATGCATGGTGGCAATGGGAACTACCAAATCTCTAGGCAGAATAGAAGATGGTATCAGGGTGAAGCCCCAGACTGTTTATAAGAAAGGATATCTGAGGCCTTCAGTCTTATACCTTACAGACTCAATCCACTTCATTACAGACCTCTTCCAATATTGTAATTTTTACACTATAGATCTGGTTCCGTAGATTTTCATCAGTATCTTGTCATGGATAGATAGCCTCCTTAGATGGGATTAGTTGGAGCCAATAATCTTTGCAGAGAGGAGAAGCTGGCCCACCCCAAGTTCAATATAGATCCAAAAAAGATTTTCAGATAGTTTCGTGGAATTCCTCCCCCCCCCAAAAAAAAATTGGGAGCACTATATTAGCCTCTGGAATAGAGATTGATCAGGGCATTAACCTGGATTGCCTCAGAGCAGCTGCTCCCTGTCCACTGACCCTGTATAGGCCCTTGGTTCTCTGAAGTACTTCAGGAAACGAAGTACATGAAGTGATGGCTGGACCAATACTGGCAGAACATGAGAAGCAAGTATGTCTGGATATGGGTCTGAGGTCAAAATGGAGCCTCACTTCTTTTTTATCCTTGTTTCATGTATGGAGTGCCAGCCAGTCCCACTATTCAGAACATCTTGGATCTTGTTAGGGATGGGCGAATCTGAAAATTTAATTAGTGTAATTATAATAATTGGGCCAAGGATTTAATGCCTAGAAATGCTAGCATTTGCTCCAGATTGAATGCTAGATGGACATAATCTATTGATAGGACAGTGATGGTGTATTGCAATGTACCCAGAATGCTTTTTGAGCCTTTAGAACTCAAGGAGGTGAATGGAATTCTCTATTATCTTAGTACTGCCAGTTTTGTACTAGACCCTGTATCCCATCTGGCTGGTTAATGCTTTTTTTGGGGGGGGAAGGGCAGTTCCCAAAGCTATGAAAGAGCTCTGTTCAACCCACTCCTCAAGAAGCCAGGCCTAGATGGAACAAAATCCCAACACTATCATCCAATCTCCAACACCTCTTTTTGAGGAAGATTAAGAAAATGATTGAGCTGCAATTACAGAAGGCTGTCTAATATAGAGAATCTCTCGATGGTCTGCTTTCAAGCTTAAGAATGAGATAGAAACTGCACTGATCACTCTCATAAATGACATGTAGCAAGGTTTAGATGAGAAAGCCTAAAACTCCTAGAACTCTAAGTAGCATTCAATAATGCACATTGAGTAACCACATCTGTTGATCTCTAAAACCAAGCTCAAACTTTCCCTTCTTCTACCATTTTGCCTTTACACCACTATCATTTTGCCCTTTTTAACCCAGGCTTTTTTTAAACCAGAAACCATAGTTGCTCAGCGTGCACTCACATGCACCCTTTCCAAAAGCAGTTTCCAATTCTGTAATGAAGCTACCTTTTACAAAAGTGCTGCTTAAAGGTGTTTATCACTTCTCTAACAAGTATTAAAACAATAAACCAGTCGATTCAGACTAATAGCCAGGTGTAATCTAAGCATTTGGGGGCTCATAAATATTGATTTGTAGATCCAAGTATCATGGCAGCCAGCTGCTATGCCTACAGCAACAGAAACATTGTAAATATTTATGTCTAGGCTTGTCCTTTCTGAGGCTCTGGATAAAGAGCAACTAGAATAACTTTTTTTATCCACTGCAAATGTTCTGTTTTCTATTGATCTGGAAATTTGATGATGGATGGCAAAAAGAGAACCATTCATGCTCTAGAGGCAATTTTATTTTTTTCTTTCAAAAGGAGCAGTCCCACAGGGCTGATGTGTCAGAGGCTGATGGATGGAGCTAGAGCAAGCCAAGGGTGAGGATAGAAATAAAAAAGGTGGGACATTTGCTGTCTCTCTGAAGCCTCCATCTTGGGGTTTTTTTTTTCCATGTGTTTCATAAAACTGATGAAGCAGCCTGCAGTGAAGGAATAGATTGCTCTTATTAGTGACTTCAACTGATCTCTTGCAGGCTATATGAGTGGAAAAGAGATGAGGTGCATAAAATAATTTCAAAGAGCACAATTGCTACTACAGTTACCGCAGGATTTATTATTATTATTATGTTTCTTTCCTGTTGCCAATAAATACAGGTCATATAGTAAAGAATGAATTTGCTGTTAGATTTTCTGTTCAAAAATCTACTCTGGAATTGTTACTGCCTAAGTATGTTCACAAATGTTTTCATGAGTTTCCACTCCTTTAAGGCACTAACCAACCCCAAGATGCCATCATGCTATCAACAACATATCCAGAGATATATGCTGTCATTTTCCAGGAAAGGCAGGCTCTGTTTTCAGAAACTAAATAAAATAATCCATAGATTGAAAAAAAAAATCCTTGCTAAAACAATACTCACTATAGTCTTAATCATTTTACTGGAGCAAGAATATCTTTATCATAATATTCATGAATATTTATATCTTCTGCATTTCATTTCTTTCTAGATTCATTATTTATCATTCTTGCTCCAACCAATCAAGAGTGATTTTTTTTAATTTAATCTCAGGATACACTTCATGGATTTGATTGGTAAAACTCAGTTCACAAAACCATATGCCAGACTAAATTTTCTCATATTTCAGGCATCTTGATCTCAGATAACCAACTTCTAAACAGAGTCCAAGTTCCTGATGACCACCTGAGCTAAGCAAAGGAATGATACATTTCTTCCTTCAATCACTTATTGATGTTTTCAAAACTGAGAAAGGCAATGGCTAAAAACAGATTGCTTATCAAATGAAAGGAGATTATTTTGAAGTCATGGATTACAGCATCTGTTACACTAGAAACCTAATATTCTGTCTGTTTAAAATAGATCTAAGTTTCATTTAAAGTTGAGACACTCCTCTGCTCCTCTATAGGGCACTCTCTTACCAAAACATTTATTTTAAAAGCTATTAGCCTCAGGAAATGCTCTGTTATGCCTGTTGTAAGGTTTACAAACTCTGCATTTTCAACAAGCATGAAATCGCTACTGGTCTCCACTATGAATCTTCCTTTCTTTGGTTCCCTACAATATTGCATGCTTACGATAACATTTTATAAATATTTAAAGGCCAAGCAAGTAGTCAGTAAGCATCAGTCAGATACTTCAAATGATCCCGATATTTAAACAGTCTTGCTATGAGCACTACAGTGGAATACTATTTTTCTGGCATCAAATAAACTGTTGTTCAAAAAACATGAGATTATTATTTATTTAATTAATTTCTTGCATTTATCTGTTACCATGGAGACTCTTGGTGATATACAAAATCCAAATTTAGTATCATAAAAGGTGCTGCTTTTTAAAAAATCAAACCTTTTCTTTGTAAATCTAAAAACCTGGATAATATAACTTTTATTTTTTAGGGGGAATACACAGTATCTTCCCATCCCTGAATGGCTTCCGGTTTTTCTTCTCTTTCTTTCTTATACACAAAACCCACAAAGCTTACCACTCATCTTTTTTGTCTATCTTACTCACAAATGAATACCCTGTTTCCCCCAAAATAAGACATCCCTTGATAATAAGCTCAATCAGGCTTTTGAGCGCATGGCAATAAGGCCAAGTGCTTATTTCAGAGTTCAAAAAAATATAAGACAGGGTCTTATTTTCGGGGAAACACGGTAAGCATTGATGATAGTACCTAGTTTGAATAATAAAATGTCTGCAAGAAAACAACCAAGCTCAGAGATCACCAAGGAGCCCTCATTTCAATTCTGAGCTACAAATATTCTCCTTTGTTGGAATATGTCTCTACCCAGATTTCTACATGCTAATTTAGACTGGCAATGGCGGGGGGGAGTTATTTCTGGTTTTTTATGAAAAAGGAACAGAATTGTGTTATTTTCAGTTCATTCTCTGAATCTATTTTGAGAGGTTCTGGGATGGCAGGGGAAAGAGAAATATGCATTTCAGTCATTTGTTCTCCTCTGTTTTCTCATGCACTTATACTATTTGATTTTTGTGTTCGATGTTGTTTGGAAAATTATATGCTAAAGTACAAGATTGAAAAAGGGTGTGGGCAAGATTTAATATGAATATATTTAACTAAATGACAAAAATCAGGGGAATCGAGAGAGTACATGAAGATTTCCCCCAAGAGTTAGAGCATCTGCTCTTTTTTCATCTCTGTTATTACTCTGAAAGATTGAACTCTAAGAAGAGGCTCTCCAAATGCGACGTGAAATTAAATCATTAACACACTTCTTTCACTGTGTATGGATTTTAAAACTGTATTACTGATTTCAAGCAGATAAAAGATACAGATAAGCCTCAAGTTAAAACCACAATTAGGACCAGAACTTCTATAATTAAGCAATTTGGTCACTAAGTGAACCGTGCCCGATTTTACAATTGTTTTTGCCACAGTCATGAAGCAAATTCATCTTCCCCCATTGACTGCTTGTCAGAAATCCTCTGGGAGATTGCAAATGACCCTGGGATGCTACAATTATTGTTAAATATATGCCAGTTGCCAAGCATCTGAATTTTGATCATGTGATGGACCTCACTGTGTGAGGACCAATTGTAAGTTACTTTTTCATTGCTATCATCACTTCAAACAATCAATAAATGAATGGTAAGTTAAGAACTATCTAGACAAGTTTCAGAATGCAATTAACAGACTGTCAAAGTTATCATTATGAAATCAAGACTTAGGTTCTTCTTCCCATCTTCTTGCTTTGTTTGCTGGTTTGTCCATTCTGTCTTTTCTTCCATTCTTTCTGCTATCTCCTCTCTTTCCAGGACTCTTTGATCTTCATTCATCTTCAGTTGTAGCATATTTTCTATTTTCCCACGTATGCCTT